ATATAGAGCATGGGAGTTGACATTTTCCCTTTATTTATTTCATGGAAATACAGTACATCTATTAGTAGTGAATTTAAAGATGTCGAATATATCGATACAGGTTCGATGATGATTACAATGGCGTGGAGAGTCAGTTAGGTACATTTCACTTACATCTACATCATATCTATATGCAAGGGCAACCCTAATCAACATGACCATTATTTTAGGGCTTCATATAATTGATAGCCTTGATGCGCCTCACACATAGTGATTATTATATATGATAATTTGAGAATACCGCTTGGCGCTTTTTAATCGGCAAGTCACAATGGATCATGCAATTTTTGTATCACCCATGGGGTTACGGTGGGATTGGTCGGATCAACATGTCGACTCGACATTCGACATCTCTGTTGAGTTTTAGCCGAAATCAGCAAGCAACCAATTCAATCAAGAACCCACATAAATAACCATGTACAACAATCACACCAGCTAGAAGTTATATCAACCCCACTTCCCTTGGTGCTTGACATGACTCTCAAAACCTCAAATGGGAAAGCACCGAACACGATTAAGTTTCTAGTCTCTGTCAAACTTTTTTTCTGAGCCTGAAAACAAAAGATCACAATTTGAAACGAAAGGATACTAAACAGTAAAATCCGAAAACCCTTTTTTTTAACCGTGGGAGCATTGTAACACAGGGAGGGTAAAAGATACATTGATCACTTTTTACAGAGGATGGGGGTTCTTCTGCTATATAATATAGACGATGATGATAACAGAGGATGGAGACCAGACGATGGAGATATCTCTTTCTCTTTTCTTCTCTTCTCTTCTCCTTCCTTCATCATCCTCATTCTCCAAGGAGAGAAATTGGCAAAGTCGCTTTCAGCTGCATCCAATTTGCCAATTCTCTCCTCTCTGCCTGCGCTACACTACACAGGCAGAATACACATAAAAATACAGAGTACCAAGAACCATTAATGAAATTGCAGTACACAGCAAACACAGAGACAGACAAGCAACCACCCTGTCTTGTCCTAAGAAACGTCTTCTCACTGTCTCACTGTGAACACGTATATATAGTAACAATGACAAATAACAACAATAATGGCCTTATTATTATTATTATTATTTGCCGCTGGCCAATGCCGACACCTTCCGTTTGTCTGTGGGCTTGTCTTTACCGTAGGGGGTGGAATGTGGACAAGTAGAACTATTGCAGCACAAAGGTTAAAGCTGTGCAAATTTTCCCTTCTCTTCTCCTTCAAACGAGAGCTCTTCTAATTTGAAAAGTTTCTAAACTTTCTTTCACCTTGAGGGAGCTGTTTCAGTTTGTCTTCTAGTTTACCACTCTTTCCTTAGAAGAGATTCCCACACTCTAGTCTGACTGCTTAGAGTTGGGTTTTATCAAGCTCATTCAACCTAAGCCAAGTCGTTTTACACTTTTACTACACTATTAACACGATCTCATGTGGCACTTTAGTGTGCAGGCCGCAGAGACATTCACCCCGTAGATAATCTTGTCGATTTAACGCATCTCATCAAGATTAACTTTGGTTATAATCCAATGGGGCTACACTTTTAGGTTCATTGGTATCACACAACATTTCTTTTTGTTACTTTCGTCAATTGGCTATGTTGTAAGCTGGTTGATCTCTTTTGTCTATTGTTATCACTGCGTGGAACTACCCAAGTGGAAAACCTTATTGCTTCTAGTAGACTCACTCACTCTGAGTACGGACGTAGTACCACTATCTATGTAGCAAAGTGTGAGTCATTTTTCTAATGGGTAAATGACACATTTGGTCACTGAGATTACTAAATCGTGTCATATTTAGTCACTAGAAAAATTTAATATCAATTTTGGTCACTCGAATTACTGAAAGAGGTCACATTTGGTCACTCTTCTGTAGCTTCTGTCCAACTCCGGTCACTCGAATTATTGAAAAATGTCACATTTAGTCACTCGGATTACTGAAACATGTCACATTTAGTCACTCTCCCGTCAGTTTCCGTCCAACTACATTAATGGAGTTGGACGGAAACTGACGGGAGAGTGACTAAATTAGACCAGTTTCGGTAATTCGAGTGACCAAAATTGATATTAATTTTTTCTAGTGACTAAACATGACACAATTTAATAATCTCAGTGACCAAATGTGTCATTTACCCTTTTTCTAATTATAACAAACTCGCCTAGAATGTTTGTCCTCAAACTAAACCCAATAACAAAAAAACGATCAGATCACAAGAATACCACGATTTTGGAAAGAGAAGTGGTACACACACTATTCATTACCTAGCTTAGAGTGAAAATGATTATTTGAAGTAATTTATCATTATGTTGGATTAAGATTTCATAAGTGGCGAGTGACATAGTACTAATCATAAAATTCATATTCTATTGGGGAGTTGTACTTGTACACATATGGTACAAAATTCTCTTGCTCAACAACAGCTTTATTTCTCGGATATATGTATGAAAGCGACACATCATTCCATGCCCTTGACCACATTAGCATTAATAGTTTAATTTATTATATTCTGGTTGGGTTGGATTCCCTCTTCCCTCCTTACCATTTGTTCATTTGCATGCTTCTTGCCTTTTCTCCTTCTCCAATCTCCAGTCCAGAAAACAGAACCCGTGACCTGCCGCTTCACGAACTTCCCCAGTTTCTATATTCTGCTACCATACTCTCTCTCTCTCGTGGTCTGCTCTGCTTGTGTGTTACCAGTCAATCTCCACCACGTGCATTTCTGGGTTGGGTGGTTGGTTCTTCCGTTGATTTTAACACTAGTGGCAGACTAGACTGGCAGGCAAGTATATAGTGGTGATAGATTTCTTTTCACCTCTCGAATCTAATCTTTCTTTTACTTATCAGTGCGTCGAATCAATAACATCTGTTTTCCCCCATTCCAAGCTAACTTGTCTCTCTTGTGCATCTGACATCTCCGATGCCCATCAAAATGGAAAGCGAGACTGTTCAGTTGGGTAGATAGTCCAACAAGATTAAACGAAATCCCAATTCAGATATCCCCGGCCCAAGACCAAGCCCAAGCCCAATTCGACACCAAGTTTCAGGACATCCAGCCTTCGCATAACTAACTCTGACCGATATTATACATATTTTTGAGGAAATGAATGAACAGTTGCCGGAAAAGAATGGGGGGAAATCAGGAGGAGATGTGTTTACCGTGGCGGCTAGCTATAGAGTGGTCTCTACAGTTCACTCTTCGTCGGCTTCGAGGCCTGGTATGTATTCAAGGCTGACGTCGAAGACTACAGGGCTGTTCGGAGCCACCCTCGGCCTTCCTGGAGCTGAAGTCAGTCCTTTCGGAAACGCCAACTGATCCAACACAAACAAAAGAATGCCTCAGGGTTGGTTGGTTGGTTACTTACAATCTGCATTTCCAGATGGCTTTGGATACACACAAATGTTCATATGCTATAGGTTTAGAGCCCCACTATACTTAAACCTGTAAGAAAACCCCTAGAAGCATAACAGTAGCTTAAAGGAGTTATATTTGTTCATGTTCTTCCCTCATGCATGAAACTTGAGATGGATGGTATTAAGAAGGAAGGATTTACCTGTCCAGGAATGTAGAGCCGTCGCTTGCCTCCAACTTTCATGGTTAGGATCCCTTCATCGAGCCCCTTTATCACCTGTTCTAGTTAATCCCAGACATTAGCCACAATGCGCACAACTTACAAAAGCACTGTAAAACACATTATGAATCTTCTGCAAATGATCATTACCTGACCTGAGCCAACACGGAAAATATACAGTTGCCCCTTCTCCAAAGAACTGCACAATCAGATATAGAACACACACACACACATTTAACGGGTGATTAGCAGCAATCAAGTTTTTGAAGATTATTGTGCAGGAAAAAGTACCTATCAAAGATTTGTCCCGACGGAACCATGGCAACAACATTAGCAGCCACCTGCATGCTTGCATCGATACCACCATCAGACAAAGAGGACAAAAGGAAGCTAAGGAATAAAAAAAGCAATAGCAGCTTAGGATCCACATTTGTGTCATGAGTCAGCTCTCGAGTTAAGCTTAACTTAATCAAGGATTCCTTTTGCATTGCATCAGAAAACCAGAGCAAATTAGTAAGTCTATGAGACTATGACATTGACGAATCTTCCAAAGGGGTCAAGACATCACTTAAAAAGTAAATCACTGTAGTGAGAATGTTATCCTCACTAATAAGAACCAATCTTAGAATGTGAATCAAGACCCAGAGAACAATCAATCTCAGACAATCTGTTCGTGCCACATTCAAATTGAAAGAGATTCAGGAATCACCTGGAAACCAACAGGAGGAGAAGGCCCTCCGCCGACTTTAATATCCTTGTACTGCAACCCAGATTCAGTACTCACCATGGGTACCTTCGTATTCAAATCGTTAGAATAAAACCATCAGTAACGAATTTAATCCCGAAATCCGTAACTACTACAATCGAAACTCTCTCTCTCTCCCTTCTCACCATACATTTTCAAGCTCCTTCACGCAACTTTCATCGCACAGCTTGGGTTTATCCTCAGGGGGCAACCCCGCTCCTCCAGCCTCAAATCCGCCAGTTACTAGACTCGAACCGCCCAGAAGAATCACCCCGATCACATTCCTGCGATTCGCGAGAGCGCAGGTTCTCGTCCGATTGAAATCGCGCCTGCTGCTGCTAAGCTCCACGGTGGAGCAGCAGCGAATCACGCGGCTGCCGCTGAAACTCAACGGGATAGCGCCGGGAGGTGGAGTACCTGATGAATTTCGAATGCGAGATGATTTTAATTTCAATCTTCCGGCAATGCGGCCGGATTTTTCGATTCCGATGAACTTCTCGAGAAAAGGAAATCAATTGAAGCTGCGTACCTACAAGAGTTCGCGGGATCGAATAAGGCAATACAGCCATCGTCGTAGCTTTCCCTGAGCCTGAATCCCTTTCCCTTCGTCTTCTGCTGCTACTGTCTTGGTTAATTTTTTGTTCGATTGCAGAGAAAATGGGAGGGGAAAGCAGAAGGAAGGAGACGGAAGAGGCGGGACGAGGGATTCAGTAGCGCGAATTTGGAAGTGGATAAAAGGAAGAGAAATCTTAACTTCCCAGTTCGCCACGTGGCCCTGGGTAGGTCCGTTCTTAATCCGGGCCTGGCATGATCAGCTATTATCGGCCCAAATACTCCAGATTGGGCTTTGCCTGTAATTTTTTCCCCATATGAAACAGGCGCAAGTTTCGAAAAGTCAGCGGCGGGACTGGATTACATTTTAAACCGTCGTCTCCGATCATTTTCTTCTTCGTTGTCCTCCGAAAGCGTATTCTGGTGCTAGCTGGCCGTTTCTCCGATCATCTTCGCCATAAAGTTCCGGCCAACAATTGGTGGAGCCTTCCTCCAGGTTCCTCTCTCTCTCTCGTGTACGTTTTCCTTTCCATTGTCTGATCCTGTATATGATTCCGATTTGAACGATCAGCCATTCCAGATTTACAAGATCATCCTACTGATAGGGTATTTCTAGTTCGGGAAGTTTCAGTGTAGATATTTTGATTCCTGAATCTACTTAATTTTAGGCTGATTGGTTGATTAATCGTCAGTAGCAAGATGACTGCCTCAAGTTTGGGAAGTTTCGATGTTCATCATATGGTTTCATCAATATGCTTGTTGAAGTATTCTCTTACCTAGGTCTATTTCATTATGTAGCCCGAAGTAGGTTGTAATTCAGGTCATATCTCCTAACCCGACAGTCTTGGTAAGTGCAGCAATGGGAGGCGATGTAGTGAAGGCTGAATCACCTAGAAGAGTATGGGTACCAGAGACGAAGATCGAGTCGAAAATGCTTGATGCCATGAAGCAGAGAGAAGCTGCAGGATGTTCCTTGAGATCATTCAACAGCATACTCTTGAAGTTCCCCAAGATTGACAGTAGCTTAAAGAAATGCAAAGCCATATTTGAGCAATTCGGTAGATGTTCGAAATCCCTGCACATCCACTTTCAAGCAATCACTATTGGTGTCAGAAGAATCACATTATAATCCTTTACCATCAGTTTAAGCATGGATAGATAGTCATTTGTAGATCTACTTAGGTCCTCCCCCTTCAGTGTCAAAAGAACACCTCAGTTTGATAGCATTGTTTCAAAGTTGGTTGACATGCCCAGGCGAGATTTAGTTGGTTAAATACTCCTAATATGTCAGTCTACATTGTATTGCTTTCTAGATTTGGACTGCAATGGCACCATTGATCATGAAGAGCTGAGAAGATGCTTCGACAAGCTGGAAATCTCTTTCACTGAAGAGGAGATCAATGATCTCTTCGCGGCGTGCGATATTAATGACGACTATGGAATGAACTTCCATGAGTTCATAGTACTTCTCTGCCTGGTGTATCTTCTCAAGGCTGCTGCTGCTGTTGCTGCTGATCCTAACGTATCCAGAACAAAGTGTTCACATGCTTGATGCTACTTGTTTATTTCTCCCTAGTAATTTCTCTTTCTAAAAGAGCATATAATTTCCTTTACTTTCAGGCTTAGACTCTAGTTTTTTCCAGGTCTTAGCATCTTGGCATCCCAGGTACTAATGGTAGTAAACAAGTACCATTATTCGTTTTGCTTCGTGTGCGGATGTATTCCATGACCATGCTAGAAACCGAAGATGGGGATGCCAAACTTGGAGGCTTCCTTCGAAACACTGGTCGATGCATTTGTGTTCTTTGACAAGAACATGGATGGCTACGTGAGCAAGAATGAGCTGATACAAGCCATACAAGACTCAGGGGAACGTGCTGCTGGACGAATAGCCTTGAAGAGATTCGGTAATTCTCTCCCTCCACCGCTCCACATTGTTGTGTTGGAAGCTCGTTCGGCTTGTGGGTTTGAATTGCTTTTAACTATGAACATGATAATGGCAGAGGAGATGGACTGGGATAAAAATGGGATGGTGAACATCAAGGAGTTTCTGTTTGCTTTTACTAAGTGGGTTGGCATTGAGGACGATGATGACGACGAAGAAGAAGAAGGTGATGAGAATGCCAAGGATGGTGAATGAAGGACAGAGATGCAAAGAATGCCTTTCTGCCACGCCATGGTTGAGAAGAGCTACTTGCTAGCGATTACATTTAGCCCTGTAGGAATAAATGACTATAGACAGAGTGATCGAGCTTGTAATGTAGATAGCTATCAATGTTACTTCCATTCTTTGTATCTCTATGTCTTGTTAATATTTCATAGTACGGGTACTAGAAAAGCAATTAACCCTTCTGTTAACCTATATACATTTTCCTTGACCGAAACGACGCCGATCAAAGTGGTTAACAAACCGCGCGCAGGAATGAGGAATCCCTAGTCCCTCCGTACTTCAGTTTCTCTTTCCCTCTCCTCGTCAACTCCTCCAGTCTCCTCCGCTTCTCAGTAACCCGCCGGTCGCCGTCGCCAGCTGCAAGTCCCGCTCTCCTGTCCTTACCCTTGCCATGTAGACATCAGTTTCCAGTCTCCCGACTTACCTTTTCTTCTCCGACAGTCCCCCGAGACTCTGGCTTCGTTTCCACCGCCTCTGCCCGGCGATTACGTGCTGTTTTACGGTTCACTCTTCGACGGTGAAACAAATAGAGAAGTCTGAGGAGGTGAGACTTGAGAGTGCTCATTTTCATAATTTATTGGCAAAGTTGGAATGTCTCTTCATTGAGGCTGTTTGCTTCTCCATGGCTGACGGTTGAATCTGTTCATCGTTCTTTTCCCCCAGGCTCGAGTACCTGCAGTTTTTGATTCGATAACATTGTTCGCCATGATCTTTCGCTCGGGTACTTATCGAGCAGCTCGGAGGTCAGCCGCTGAAGCCTTGGCCAGTGGTAGACCGACGGGCTGTCAATATGCCCACCAAGTGTTTGATTTTTCGTTCTCCTCGTTGTCTTCAAGTGATCACTCTCCTCGTTCTAGCTCTAACGTCAATTTCCGTTCTCGTCCTTTTGAAAGACGTGATTTTGATGATAATGGTAATGCTCATTCCAAGAGGTTGAGGCAAATGGGTGTTTCGGATGTTGAGGTTAGGGCTGATGAGGTTCTTGAATCGGATTGCTCTGAGGAGTTTGAGGAATCAGATGTAGACGGAGGAGACGATGATGAGAAAAGCTTTAAGGTGTTAGATTCCTTCAACAGGGATCGTGAGCAAAAGCAAGAGACAATGAGAATTGAGCTAGGGGAACATGAACTTCGGCATCCTTTGGTGAGGGAAGTCTGCAGGTTGATTGATCGTAGGTCAGCTTGGAATCCTAAGATGGAAGCGGAACTGAAGAACTTGCTCAGAAGCCTCAAGCCTCGACTAGTTTGTGCTGTTCTGCGATCTCAAGCAGATGAGAGAGTAGCTTTGAGTTTCTTCTATTGGGCTGACCGCCAGTGGCGGTACAGGCACCACCCTATAGTTTATTATGTGTTGCTTGAGATGCTCAGTAAAACCAAATTATGTCAAGGTGCTAGGAGAATAATTGTGCTCATGGCTCGCCGGGGTGTTGAACGACGGCCTGAAATATTTAGCTATTTAATGATTTCATATAGTCGAGCTGGTAGGTTGAGGAATGCAATGCAGGTGTTGACAAGGATGCAGAAAGCTGGCATTGAACCTAACCTGCTGATATGTAACACCACTATCCATGTTTTGGTGTTGGCGAATAGGATGGACAAAGCATTGAGGTTTATGGAAAGGATGCAACTTGTTGGTATCACTCCAAACGTTGTAACGTATAACGCTTTGATCAAAGGTTACTGTGATGTTCACCGAGTCGAAGATGCTATGGAGCTTATAGCTGAAATGCCATTCAAAGGGTGTCCTCCAGACAAAGTGAGTTACTATACTGTCATGACTTTTCTTTGCAAAGAGAAGAGGATCGAACAAGTGAGGAGCTTAATGGAGACTATGGTTAAGAGTAGCAAGTTGTTGCCAGATCAGGTTACTTACAACATTCTGATTCATGTTCTTTCCAAGCACCAACATTCAGATGAAGCACTTGTATTTTTGAGGGAAGCAGAGGAAAGAGGGTTTCCAGTTGATAAGGTTGAGTATAGTGCAGTAGTTGACTCGTATTGTAAGCAAGGTAAGATGGACCGGGCAAAAGAAATTGTGAATGAAATGTTGTCCAAAGGTTGTGCTCCTGATGTAGTGACCTACACTGCTGTAGTTAATGGACTTTGTCAAGTTGGGGAGGTCGAACAAGCTACAAGGATGCTTCAGCAAATGTACAAACATGGCTGCAAGCCTAATACTGTGTCATATACAGCTCTCTTGAATGGGCTTTGTCGAAATGGAAACTCATCCAAGGCTAGGGAAATGATGAATATGAGTGAGGAAGAATGGTGGACGCCGAACGCCATCACGTATAGTGTCGTCATGCATGGGTTAAGGAGGGAGGAAAAACTGTCTGAAGCTTGTGATGTGGTGAGAGAGATGGTTGGCAAAGGATTTTTCCCTACTCCAGTTGAAATTAATCAACTACTCCAGGCACTTTGCAGTGGAGGTAAGGCGGATGTTGCTAAGAAGTTCATGGAGGAGTGTCTACATAATGGTTGTGCTGTGAATTCAGTGAACTTCACTACTGTTATTCATGGGTTTTGTCAGAATGATAACTTAGAAGCAGCTTTGTCTTTGCTGGATGACATGTACCTGAGCAACAAGCATCCTGATGCAGTCACCTATACTGCTGTAATTGATGCACTGTGTAAAAAGGGTAGAATGGATGAAGCTACCGAGATTGCTACAAAGATGCTTAAGCAAGGTGTAGATCCTACACCCGTGACATTTAGAACGGTGATCCATGGGTATTGCCAAATGGGTAGAGTGGAAGATCTGTTGAAATTGTTGGATAAAATGCTTTCACGACAGAAGATCAGAACAGTGTATAATCAAGTAATTGAGAAGCTATGTAGGTTCGGAAACCCAGAAGCAGCTGACAAACTCTTGGGTAATGTATTGAGAACAGCCTCCAGAATTGATGCTAATACATGCCATGTGCTAATGGAGAGTCATTTGAGTAAAGGAGTGCCTTTGTCTGCTTATAATGTTGCTTGTCGTATGTTTAACCGCAATTTGATCCCTGACATAAAGTTGTGTGAGAAGGTGAGCAAGAAACTGAAGGCAGAAGGAAAGTCAAAGGAGGCAGATAGTCTTCTATTGCGTTTTGTTGAGCGTGGGAGTGTTTCACCTCAACATTTCCTGACTTTGGAAACCTAGTCAGTGTGGTGTGTAGATATTGTTGGACAATCTGAAAAGTTCTTTCACTGAAGAGGAGATCAATGAGCTTTCTAAGGGACGTGGTATTAATGACAACTGTGGGATGAACTTTCATGAGGTCGTAGCACTTCTCTGTCTGGTGTATCGTCTCAAGTATGCTGCTGCCGAACAGAATCTGTCAAAACCGAGTGGTAAATGCTTTGTGAGTGTAACATAATTGATGCTGCATGTTTATTTTCTAACCAATACATGGTAGGGTATAAATTTTGCGCCTTCTGCTAGTAGCTGCTGGATTTTTTACATGATAACTTGCTGCAACTTTTTGCTTGTTAAAACAACTTCTCACTTTCAGATTTTCTATCTTCCAAGTAACCTTATGGTCCTCTAGATCATCTATAAACTATAAATATCTGATATTATTCAAACATAGTTTTAGTACATGCAAGTTTTTTTGTGTGACCCAAACTCCCGTGTTCAGTTACTCTTTTTGGCTTCCCTTGGAAATTGCAATATTAGTTGTAGGCAAGCTCATTATTTTGCTGCTTCCTGTGATTGTATTTCCATTACCATGCTGGAAACCAAAGTTGGGAATGCTTAATTCGAAGGGCTTATTTTGAAACATTAGTTGGTGCATTTGTGTTCTTGGGCAACAACAAGGATGATTTTGCGAGTAAGAAGAGATGGTTCAAGCTCTAAAGAATTTGGTGGAACGTGCTACAAGACAACTAGCCTTGAAAACATTTGGTACTTCATCTATCGCCCCATATATCAGTTCGATTCGATAACTCATTTCTGCATGAATGTTTCTACATTGACAAACAGGAAGATAGACATGTCCTGATACATGATATTTGTTGCTCTACTTTGATAGGAAAAACGGTATAGGAGTCAGCTGGGGGGTGAAAATATGCAGTGGTGAACATCAACGAGTTTCTGTTTGCATTTAGCCTTCTACTCAATTGGCTGATGATGATGACGCTTGTGGACGACTAAGGTAACCATATCGATGAATGAAGAGAAGGATTGTGGAAGAGGAGATAAAGGTGTGAGTTGATACCGATGGAGTTGTGAAGAAGTAGTAATTACATTTAGACATCGAGCTTGTAATGTAGTCAGCAGTACTATGAGCAATTGTTGTTCCATGGTACTTCTCAAAGGAAAGGAGAGGCAAAAGAGAAAGGAGATTGAATTGCTTCTATTCTTGTTTTCTTTGAGCTTAATAAGATTGAGCTCTCTAGTCTTACCACCATTCTCTCAGTATGATGTAATATTGCATCTCATAATTTGCATTTGAAGTATGGTATTTGCTATACCTAATACCTATGTTTGGGGATGAGAATTGACGAGTTAACTTCTTGTGTATGATTTTTGTTGGGTATTTTTTTTAACAAAAGATAATTATGTATTGATTTAAAAAACGAGACAGTTACATTCTGTAATTCAGCCAGGCCTGAAAATCAAACAAATGATTTGTAGTCGGGTACGAAGAAAGGGTCTTTCGAGCCACCAAATGTGCTTACAATTGCTACGCCGAACTACAAATATAATACTAAACCCCGTATGGATGGTGAAGTAATGCACAATTTCTTCGAGAATAGCTCCCATCCTACTATCTCTGGTATTCGACCGAATGATCTTCTCAACGATCACCTTCGCATCTTCTTCAAACCGAACTTTTGTGAAACCATGGTTTATGCACCATAAAATCGCTTCACGGAGGACAAGTAATTCAACCACCATGGGATCATCAATCACATGAACGTTGGGGTATCTAGAAGTGTTTGGTTGAGTATATAACTTGTTTTAAGATAAAAGAAAATAAGAATTTAGCTTAAACTTTAGCTTCATGGATGTAATAAGCTCACAATTTGTTCGTGTACAAAATGTTGTTTAACTCGCAATTAGTTATTTGTTATTTCTCTTTCTTGTGGCCAATTTTTCCTTTAAATTTGAATTTTGGAATGATGTTGTAATTAACCATCATCTTGTGTTATTGTACTTTGACTAGGCAAGTAGATTTCTCTTTACACAGTTTTGGCATGTCGACATTTAAACGTCACCTTTTCACTTGGTTGTGAAAAATCATAAACTTTATCCGCACCCAATAGTCAATCACAAAATTACTTCTTACGATGAGATGAGTCATTTACGTGCCTCTTATAAAGCATTGTAGTAACATACAAAAATAGACTTCCATGAATACTTGCTAAATTCATATAAAAAGATAAATTGGTATTAAGTCACTAAATTTCAAACTTATAATCTTTCTCATATGAGTCAAACGCCTGACCAATCTAACCAACTAATAAAGATCATTTCGAAATGATAATTTATCGCTTTAGTGAATAACAATTGCCTTCCACTTGCATAAAATAGTTGTATAATTCTCCAAAAATTTGTTAAACCCATTAAACCAAAATACCAAATACAAACATAAATTTTATTCCGATAAAAAAATAATAACAAATCACTCGTGAAACGTCTGGATTTATCAATTTAGAAATGAGATAATTTGGTAAATTGTCTCATTCAATAAAAATGAGTGATTTATAATAAATCAATACAAATTACGTGCCTTTTCCCTGAACAATGGAAATTTCTCATAAAGGAAAAACTTAAATTTATCGGCCCAAATTGCCATATCCAATTTTTTTTAATAATGAACGAATCAATTTGATCCATTGTGTCAAAACGAGATATTTCGATTAAATGAATCAATTTAATTGAATGGATTCCTGTCAATTACTCATGCAAGCCACCTACATTTTTAGAATTTTTGTTTTGAGAAAGAACAAACCACCTATATTTTGGTTGCAACCAAAATGAAATTAATTGAATTTAGTGGTGCCCTAAAATTCGGCAACCCGGCAATTAGTAGTCGGTCCCGCCGTCTATAATAATCAAATTAGGCGCCACCGGTAGCTTACTCTGCATTCTCCGCCTTTCGGCTCCCATCCTCCACCGTCTTCCGTTGTCCGAGCGGCGGAGAAAAGAGATGGAGGAAACAGCAATACCCTTCAAGAACTTGCACAGCAGAGAGTACCAAGGTCACAAGAAGAAGGTTTCTGCTTCGCTGTTTAGCATACCCAATCTATCCACTATCCCCTCTTTCCGAATCTTCCATTTCTTGTTGTTGGTAATTTGTTTCTCCGTTAATGGGTGTGTGTGACTTGGATCGTTAGGTTCATTCGGTGGCTTGGAATTGTACTGGTACCAAGCTCGCTTCTGGCTCCGTTGATCAAACTGCTCGAATTTGGCTCATTGAACCCCACAGCCATGTGAGTCATACAAAGCTATTACTTCGCAATTCCTAGATTCCTAAATTGACGTTTTTGAGATTTGGGGGTGCTTCTGGAACGTGATTAATGGCTCGTTCCTCCTGAAACCAATTGGGTCTCTAGTGAATGTCATTGATTCGATGTGTGTGTATATATAGTGAGCTATATGTGCTTGGTATTTGATTTCCGTAAATGGGTGTCAGTTATTCTTAGTAGCTGTCGTTGCGGGCATTCTTCTTGTTCAGTTTGTTAGCTGCTGATGCTTAGGAAGTAGGAAGTTAAGTTTTGACTTAGATGCTTCCATAAGCACAGTGTAGTCTCCTTGTGAAGATTGCCAAGTTCTGTTTGGTGCTCTATCAGTTGTAAATGTCTCCTTCTGTGGCAGTCGGATGCATGATTTGTATGTTAATGCTAAAATATCTGCTGCAGGGAAAAATTAAAGACATCGAGTTGAAAGGCCACACAGATAGTGTAGATCAGCTCTGTTGGGATCCTAAACATTCTGAGCTTATTGCAACTGCATCTGGAGACAAGACTGTTCGTCTATGGGATGCACGCAGTGAGTAATTTTCACTTTCATGTACCAGTATTCAGCAAGGAAAATGGATGAACAGGAAGCAGAAACAAGATTGCCTTATATGTTAAGATTTTGAGCCTAAATGGAAGCACAGTCTTGGTTTCCATTTTCTTACTACATGAATGTTAGGAGAAGAGAGTCCAATCAATTTTTCCTTGGAATTCTGCAGGTGGAAAATGCTCTCAGCAGGCAGAACTTAGTGGAGAAAATATTAATATTACCTACAGACCGGATGGCACCCACGTAGCTGTTGGTAATAGGGTATGTTAACACATACGAAACCGAGAGTATTTCTGGTAGTTTGTCTATGAGCTTATGATCTAGTATGTTCTTTCAACCCATCTGGAAGTAATTTTCGTGATCGTATGTTTTTATTGTAGGACGACGAACTGACAATTTTGGATGTTCGGAAGTTTAAGCCAATCCACAAACGCAAGTTTAATTATGAGGTAAGCCTATTCAAGAATCAAGCTCGTGTTTCCTTTGGATGTTCTTCAAGATCAATAGTCAAACTGCAAAGGAGAATGTATATTATATTTGATGCCAATAAATTGAACTTTTGTGTCTATGAGGATGCTTCTTATTGGCCTGTTTCTGCTTTTACTGTGACCTGAAATATGTATCGTGCTCTCTTCTTCTTAGGTTAATGAGATTGCTTGGGATATGACAGGAGGGATGTTCCTTTTGACAACTGGGAATGGTAATAACGATTTTCTCAATGGTCATTGCTTATTTTGCATTGAACAGTGCTCAGGTTATCTTATTGCTAAGTTTTCCTCCCCCCCCCCCCCCCCAAGGTACTGTTGAAGTGCTTGCATACCCAGCTCTTCGGCCAGTGGACACTCTTATGGCACATACAGCTGGGTGCTACTGCATCGCCATTGATCCAAAAGGAAGGTCGGGTTCAGAAGTTTCAAAGTTCCAAACTTTAATGGTATGTGAACTGAACGTGAGTCATAGAACCACTAACTTAAGTTCTTTGCTCACAGATATTTCGCAGTGGGGAGTGCTGATTCACTAGTCAGTCTTTGGGATATATCAGAGATGCTTTGTGTTAGGACATTTACAAAGCTAGAGTGAGTTTTGATTAGTCTTATTTGGAGCTATTCCTTTTATTGTCTTACCTTATATCTAAGTTCTCAACGAACAAACTAACTAACTGGGGGGATAAAACAATATGTTGTCAACTCAGGTGGCCTGTCAGGACAATAAGCTTCAATCACACTGGAGAGTTCATAGCTTCTGCAAGTGAAGACTTGTTTATCGACATAGTATGTTTCCTGAAACTTTATTAATCCTCAAACCAGTTACCGTTTCTTTTGCCTGACCCTGCAATCGTTCAAAACAGTCCAATGTTCAAACCGGTCGAACAGTTCACCAGATCCCTTGTCGAGCTGCCATGAACAGTGTCGAGTGGAACCCCAAGTACAATTTACTTGCATATGCTGGGGATGACAAGAACAAATACCAGGCTGATGAAGGTGCTGCACTTCTTTCTTCATTTACATTGAATTTGAGAAATGTGAATGAGTTCATAAATCCAATCCCATCCAACTTGATTTTTCTTGTTATTGCAGGTGTTTTCCGTATATTTGGCTTCGACTCGGCCTAGAGTTTGTTTGTACCAGCTCGTATGCATTTTACTTGAAATTGTAGTAGCAAGTTAATTATGGCCACCAATCTCTCAAATCTCAGTTACTTGGAAGAATGAATGTTACTAGTCTTATTGGATGGATGAATGAATGAATGAATGAATGAATGAATGGCACTTTTGCCTACTGAAAGAAAATAGTTCACACAAGCAGTGTATGTGATGTGTACAACAAGTTCCCAAAGTAGTCAAGTCTCTGAGGTTAGGGCGAGTTAGATCTTTAGCGATTAGGGGTAGTAGTAGCAGCGCCATTTCTCCTGTCGTCTCAAGCTCCGAGTTTCGTCATGGTAAATTCTCTAGCATAACCAATTCTTCCAATTCTTTTGCATTCACATGGCAATGCTTTCTTGCTCCCCATCCCCCTTTCTCACCAACACAAATCTGCATATATCAACAACCGAAGAGAAGAATCCAAATATCAGATCTTTACCTCAAGGCAATGAAACGAGACTATCTTTACACTATCTCAACAAATGAATCAATCATCTTACCTCGAACCACCATCTTCTGTTGCCATTAATCTCTGTTTTCCCCTCATCTGTACTAAAATCCGCCGCAAAGAACTAATCTTGAAGCCAAAACTGCCAACCCCGCAAAGCAAAGCAAACCGATTGCTACTGAGTTCTGGGAAACCCAAGTCACCGGCTTCCACTTAATTTCCACACTTGAACTCTTCATCTTCTTGCCGCCGGTGCAGTAGGGATCTTTCCCCAGCTCAAAGCTCCCGCCTTTCATCCTCAGTTCCTGAATACACCTCGCCACCGCCCGCCCGTCACACCGCTCCCTCCCCACTCTCTTCCACACCTTCCAGTACCTGTACAGCTGCACCTGTACCAACCACACAAACACGAGTGAGGTGCACAAGGAAACTACCCCTGGTACCCACCATTTCCCGCACTTCCCCTCTCCAGAAGATGAAGAAGAAGAAGTGAAGAGTATGGTGAAGAAGAGTCCGTGGAAGATTAGGAAGAAGGAGCAGAGCTGGAAGATCTCTCGCTTGATCGAATCGAGTCGCGATTCCTTGGCGGCGATCCGCCGCCCGCTGAGATCCTCTTCCCTCTGCCACAGCTTCAGGAGGAGCAAATGCCCCGGGCTGCGGGAGATCTCCGTCAGCGGGTGGTTCTGGATCGCCGTCGCAACGACGAGGAGCTGCCTCTGCTCTTCGTTGTCGACTGGAATCTCGACGATGTGATGGGATTCCGTCATTTGTTAGAAGATTAATGGAAACTGGAACTGTAAACAGAGTGGAAACAGAGTACAATCGGAAGTGCAACGCAGAAGAACAAGAAGAGAAAACGAATGAGCAGTAAGACTTGGGAACAGAAGGCAAGGAAGGAAGGCGAGTTGAGAGATTGAGAATGGATCGAATGCTTGGTAATGGAGGGAAATGAAGATGGAGGGGAAGTTTCAGGTGTATATATATTGCTGGTGAAACGCCTGGGATTCTCTCTGTTTCAACGGCTACTTTCCTTAACGGTAATATTTGTTTCTTCTTTTTATTTATTTAAATTATTATCTCCTAGCTCGGTTCCTTTCTTTACGGGCCTTTGGGCTCCTGGACTTCCCTCGCGAACGATTGGGCTGGTGCCTAATAAGCCCAGGTCAACCTTTGAGTGGGACCGGTTTGTGGACTTGCAAGTAAAATAACAGAAGTTTAGTAGCTCATTTGGGAAAAGAAAAATGTTTAGGGGCTAAAATGGCATTATTCCACAATTTACCTACCCTTTCAACGACGATCCATCCATCTAGGAATTGGCAATTTACCCGCGCTGGTTAGATCCTGTAGCTGCTGCCGCCCCCCAAAAGTCGTCGTCGTCGCCGGTAGCCATTGATCGAATTCCCGGCGCAAAATCACCGGTCAGCCGCCGTCTCTTTCTTTCCTTTCCATTCACATTTCTTTCTTGTTTAATAAGAAGCAGAACTGACCCAACCCACAAGCCAAAATAAACTAAAAAAAATTAGATCCCAGAATACCGTAAAAATTAAAGGGTTAATACCCTAGTTTGGCCCGAACTTTAGCGTTAGCGACAGTTATGGCCCCATTTTTCAAATAAGACATTTATGGCCCATTTTTGAAATTATTGGACAAATTTGGCCTACGATTTGAATTGACCGTCAAAATAGACGGTCAACTATTTTTTCGTCGATGACTCAGCATCAAAATATTGAGGTGGATCCGAGGTGGCTGCCACACCATTTATTTAGATTAAAAAATTTAAAACAAAGTCCCTCCCACCCAACTCACTCCCATCGCCACCGAATAGTAATATGGAATCCCTAACATCTATCATCACAACCCCATCCTCGCCACCATTCCCATCATCGGCTACCTCCGCTCCATCTCCCCTACCATTTTTCTTGTCCGTCCGATTTTGTTGTTGCTCCATCGAGATCCCATCCACAAGATCAGTTGCTGCTCTTTGATTGCCCCTATCCCTCTCCTCGTCGAACTCGTGATGGTGCCTCTTCTGCAGAAGCGAAGGCGACGGGGAGCGTTGGCGGTGCAGCAGTGCGACGCGCGTGCGTCCGGCGAGAGCGAGTATGCCAATGGTCGTCTCTCATTGGAAGAAGCAGCTGTCAATGGTCGTCTCTCCAAACGATTCCCAGAACTGAAATTTTGGGTTTGGGTTCTTCGGTTTTCAAAACTGTTTCAGATCCCCAACCTAGATCTGGAGTAGAGTGAAAGAGGGAAAAGATGTGGTGGCTTGACTCTGACGACGAGGGTTGCCATTGATACAAGGAAGTCAGCCAGGGATGGCGACAATGAGAGGCAGCTAGAGATTGTAGGATGGGGAAGGAAATTTGGGGAAGGATTTCGCAATGGGTGGAGGTGGAAGTTAGAAGAGGAAGAAGATAGAGGAAAGGGTTTCGTTTGACCATCACTTTTTTTTTACTTTTAAATGATGTGGACGTCCTAGTCATTAGTGGATGTCGAGTCACTTACGGAGAAAATGGTTGACCGTCAATTTTGACGGTCAATTCAAAATGCAGGCCAAATTTGTCCAATAATTTCAAAAGTAGGCCACAAATGTCTTATTTGAAAAATGGGGCCAGAACTGACACTTACGCTAAACTTGGGGCCAAACTAGGGTGTTAACCCAAAATTAAACATAATTCTCGGAATACATAAGTTTTATAAAATTTTCTCAAACTACCCAAGTTTCAGAGGGTTCGAGTCCCATAAACTGGAACTACTCTCCAGTTCGACGATGAAGAACTCGAACTGAAATTAGATCGAGTTACTAAAACTCGATCAACATTAGTTCGATTTTGGAGAAATCGATCAAAGTAGAACGATGACAAAAGACTCGATCATAGTAGATCGAGTATGGACAACTTGATCCAGTTAGATCAATGCCAAAAACCTCGTTGTAGTACAACAACTTTAAAGCACTCGATCCATATCTGCACAAGATCGATGCCTTAAGACTCGAACAACCTAAATCAATTCCAATGGGCTCGAACCACTGGTCCACCGACATGCTTCAGGATAGGGTTGCAGGGATAAGATTCTTTGTTGTCATAGATCGAGTTTTAGGGACTCGAACTAGTGTAGTTCGATTACACTGAACTCAAACTACAGCTCAATCATTCTGTCCAGTCGCTTTCGATCGGACATGCTCCAGAATAGGGTGCAGGGGTAAAATTATTGGTTGCCCTAGATCGAGTTTAATGGACTCGAACTAGTGTAGTTCGAGTTTTTTGGACTCGAACCACTCCATCAGTTTACGAGGATAAAAAGCCATCACTTAGCACATTCTGGCAGCTCTCTTCCTTTCTATCTTCTTTCTTCCAAACACAAACTGCAGCTGCTGGAGCACCATAGCTGAGCAAAGAAGAAAAATTTTTGGAGGTAAGTTCTGCTTACGTTGTTTGAATGAGCATATTAGAATTTTGGATTAATTTAGTATTGTTTGTACTGTATGTAATGAGCTGCTTCTATAAACTGCAGAAATGGGTAGAAAATTTCGAAAATTCGACTTAAAGATTCGGTGGAATGGTCGAATTACACATTTTCATGATAGTATTGACTACGAAGATGGTGAATCAAGTATTGTCCGGATTGAGAGCATATTTACTTGGCAAGAACTCAGTCATATTTGTGCGGAACGATGTTGCATAGGAGGGCGAAGAGTATGCAAGATGACTTACCGTATGCCGGTTTACAAGGATTATGCACTTGTATATGAAGGATCAGTTTTGTCTGACGATGATGACATTAATATGATGGTGAGATTTATTGCAGAGAACAGATTTCCAACTGCTGAGGTGTATGTCGAGACAGATGTTTTTGGCCAATATGGTGGCGGCGGTTATACCGAACAAGGTGAAGGATCGAGAGGGATTTCCGGTTCAGGAGATTTCAGAGTCCGGCATGAAGCACCATGGCCAACATACGAGGATCGAACTGCAACTGGTCCATTGGTGTAACATGACGGACATGAGTGGCCAGTATGGGGTGAAGAATGGGATTACATAAGGGCACCCAGACAGTCACCCAGACAAGCATCTACACCAGCATCTGGCATCAACAATGATCCATATGTGGATAAACCAAGTCCTCCGTACACTAGCGAGGCAAGCGACGTGGAAGATGAAGAGTTAGAATCAATGAGTAGTTCAGATGGTGAAGATCTGGAAGTTGATGAGGGGGAATTTGAGCCCCCCACACCTCACTACACGATGGTGCCACAACATCCTCTCTATGCTCACAACGACGATCCTGACCTCCCTCCTATACCAATATGGACTCCTGACTCTGGATTCGTGGTTGGCCAAACATTTGGAGGAAAGTCTCAGGTGGTCGATGCATTGAAAGAAACTGCTATGCGAAGAAGCTTTCAATATCGTGTCATCACTTCTGACACTAAACAAATTCGTGTTCGTTGCGAGAACCATGGCGACGGATGCATGTGGCATGTTCGGGCGGCATATGTTAAAAGAAATGGGGCTTGGCTCATTCGTAAGACAGACAACAACCACACTTGTAGGTCGTCACTGATTTCTCTAGATCACCGACAATTGAGTGCAAGGAAGGTTGCACAAACAATCAAACATTTGATTGAGGCACAACCTGGGATCACCGTGAAGAGTGTCATCGCTGAAGTGAAGAATCGACATGGCTATACCATCAGTTACAAGAAAGCATGGCATGGGAAGCAAAAAGCTATGGCAGAGGTGTATGGTGATTGGGAAGAGGCATTTGCTAACATGCCTCGCTTGATTCTTGCAATGGTGGACAAGAATTCTGGGTCTGTTTTTGTGCCTAGTTACGAAGATTTCTATGGGGGTGCTAAACGCGTGTTTAAGCGACTATTTTGGGCATTCAAACCATGCATTGATGGTTTCACCCATTGTCTGCCAATAATCCAAGTTGATGACACCTTTCTGACCGGCAAATACAAGGGCACTCTACTCATTGCCACTAGTGTTGATGGCAGTATGCAACTTTTCCCGCTTGCTTTTGCTATAGTCGAATCGGAGAACAACTTAAGTTGGGCATGGTTTTTTTCCCAACTATACACTCATGTCACTCAACGGAAGGACATTGCCATACTTTCTGATCGACACTATGGAATTGCACATGCTTTCTACGACCTGCCCGAGGAGCTAGGGTGGAAGTGGCGCTGGTACATACGACATTTCAAAAGCAATTACGGGAAGCACTTTGGTAGAACTTATGGACAACGTGCAGTTTGGCACGCTGGTAAGAACAAATAAGATGTTGTGATTATATCAATTGGTTGAATGCGTATACTCCTTTACTAACCTTATTTTGCTTTATTGTAGCTATTGCTTTTCAGACTCGAAAGTTTGTAGACAAAATGAAGAGCATAAGGGAGGTCCACTCTGAAGGTGCAGATTGGCTAGAAACTCATCCTTTTGAGAGGTGGACGTTACATCAAGACGAAGGGTATAGGTATGGAATAACAACAACGAATATGGGTGAGTGCCTCAATGGTTTGTATGTTGGTCTTCGTGCAATGCCTATCTCATCTATAGTCTTGCATACCTTCTTTCGTACGGTGACATGGTTCGTTGAACGCTACCAAGCAGCATATCAGATGCTGAATGCTGGAATCTACTTGCTAAAGAAGATTACGGATGATATGAAACCATGGTCAGAAAGGGTAAAATGGCACAAGGTGACTTTATTTAGTCGAAGAGATTCCCGCTTCGCAGTAGTAACAGGAAGTGGACCAGATAGTTCAAAGGGTGGTAATGCTCAAACAGTTATACTGGATGCAAAGAATGGGATAGGAGAGTGTACTTGTGGGAAGTTTCAAGGGAGACACCTGCCTTGCTCTCATGCATATGCAGCTGCGAGAAGCGTTAATTTGGACCCTTTGATATTTGTTAGTCCATACTACAAGACTCCATACGTGGTCAGAGTTTGGGAAGGGTCGTTCTTTCCCTTGGCTCATGAAGCATATTGGTCCCAATATGATGGACCTGTAGTGTACCCTCCCGAGCACATGAAGCGTACCAAAGGTCGACCTAGAGTTAACCGAATTGCAAATAAAATGGATAGATCAAGGACACAGCGACGCCACCCGAAGAAGTGCTCTGCATGTCGAGTTGAAGGGCATGATAGGCGCCAGTGTCCAGGGCCATCGACTAATAATTGAAAGTTTATGTTGTAATTTGAATTTTATGTTGTGATTTAAGAAGTTTATGTTGTAATTTAAATTTTATGTTGTGATTTAAGAACTTTATGTTGTAATTTGAATTTTATGTTGTGATTTAAGAACTTTATGTTGTAATTTGAATTTTATGTTGTAATATGAATTTTATGTTGTGAAAATATACAACTTAACAACTCTAGAGAAATAGAACAAATTAACAACGTCATTAGAAATAGAACACCTTAACAACTCTAAAGAAATAGAACAACTTAACAACGTCGTTAGAAATAGAACAACTTAACAACTCTAAAGAAATAGAACAACTTAACAACGTCATTAGAAATAGAACAGCTTAACAACTCTAAAGAAATAGAACAACTTAACAACTCTAAAGAACACCTCACTCTTGTGCACCACGTCCGCGTCCCTCTCTTCGACGTCTATTCCTTGAACGAACTCCATATCTAATTCCAGTATTTCGTGGCAATGGAGGTGGGGTTGCAGTGGCTGGAGAACCATAATAAACATTTGTCATCTGAGTCTGGAAGCTTTGCTACAGGGTTTGGAATTGATGACCATACGATGAAGCATAGTAGGCTCCTCCTCCCCCTCCTTGAGCAGGACCTGATGATCCCTCTCCGAATTCCCTTCTGACGGGAGGGAATCCATACTCGTATGGGTCAGGAAGTGCCACATCTACTCGTACGTGCACAGGGACTGTAACTGGCTCTTGCCGACGTTTACTCCTCCTTGGTGGTGATGGCGGGAGAGATTCAACTTCAATGGCGTGGGAGGAAGGACGTGGCGGTGCAGGTGGAGGAGGATATGCAATGACATCCCTTCGGATTTCTCGCGAACATGACAAGAGATTCTTGAAGAGCTTCTTCAAGAATGAAATTTTCTCAGCTAGCACATCTTGTTCTTGTTCATTCTCCAACGTCATTGATGCAAGTTCCAACCCATCAACCTAAACAATAAACATGTTAGTCAAACACTCTTTGTGTACGTAGCTAAAGTGATTATAGTAAATAGATATTGTGCTTACCAATGAACCGATCACGGCGCCACGTTTGGTTACCCATCTTATTTTGAACTTGCGGTACCAAATCATGTATTCATCTTGGTACCCCATTGGCCTCGTCATTGGGATCCCATCAATTGCATACGTCTGACGAGACTCCCACATTTCAATCCATCTATGGTGCTTGGTTGGCCAATCACTTATTGTACCCCGCAGATCCTTGCTGTACTTGTGGAGTGACTTATGTACGTCCGGTGGTGGGAGAGGAATCGGTTGCGCCCAATTGTATTGTTGGACACATCTATCCGGGAGGTGCCACTCAACAATGTTGTGGCAAATCACAGGCAAATTGCACGACCAGAGTCGACGATCCTCAGGGTATCGCAACTCGTACAAATCCTTTGCTCCGTTTGGATACGGATCCCACTCCACCTAACTTTCAACACAACATATAAATTAAAATTGAAGCAAATAATTTCAACAAATAAAATAGGATTCAAAATCATAAAAATAAATAATGGGCTAAGACAAATAATTTCAACAAATAAAATAGAATTTGTAATCATAAAAATAAATCATAGCCTATGACAAATAATTTCAACAAATAAAATAGAATTCGTAATCATAAAAATAAATCATAGGCTATGACAAATAATTTCAACAAATAAAATAGAATTCGTAATCATAAAAATAATCATAGGCTATGACTAAGACAAATAATTTCAAAAAATAAAAACTTATTCATAATCGTAAAAATAAATCATGGGCTAAGACAAATAACTTCAACAAATAAATTAGCATTCATAAACATAAGCTAGAATGTTACCTCGTTGAATTCTATAAGGTCAAGATGTTGGCAGTACCCGTCTAGAGAGGTGAGTCTCGTGATAGCTCCAATCCATCTAGCACCATAAGCCCATTGTCGTAGTGGCTCATCGGGACCCCAACTGTTGGCAGGGTAGATCGGAGCGAAAGTAGGAAGGTGCTCTTAAACCCATAGTTGGAGGATGAACATGGGACCACCCGCTTGCTTTGTTTTCTGATCCGTACGCTTGCACAACTCCGAATATATCATCGCCAAACAAGCAGATCCCCAACTTTTTCTCCCAATCTCGTCCCAATCTCCCAAAAGAACTCGAAGCCACATACAATGCATATTTCCACCAGACTTGTTCGGAAACAAAAATCCTCCAACCAAACAAATAAGGTAGATGCGAGCATACCTCTCTATCTGAGCATCCGTGGCATCCTCCGGTAATTCCCCAACGGTCCTCACTAGCCAAGGTATCAATATCATAGACTTGTGTAGAGGTGGTACACGACGACCTTCTTGTGCTTCCTCGGGGATGTTGATACCTAAACGCTCGCTTATAAATTGGTCCCAACCGTTCAATGGTTTCTGTGAACTTTCTATTATTGCATCACCATCGATTGGAAGCTCTGTCAGCATGGCTACTTCCTTCAACGTAATCTTCATCTCTCCCTCTAGAAGGTGGAATGTGTGCGTTTCTTTTCTCCATCTTTCCACCATTGCCGTAAGAAGGTTGTTGTCCATCTCCATCCCCACAAACTTTCGCACCCTCAGCAATCATGCTCTTTCAATGAAGGGCTCGATACGATCATCCCATTTAGGCAAGCGAGATAGTGACCGATGGGTGATTACGTCAAGTTGTTCCTGTAGAAAAAAAATATTAATTATTATACAAAAAAATTGGAAGAATTCTATCACATTTAAAAAAGAAAAGTACACGAGGAAGTGCTTACCGGATCTGCCGCCCAAACACTTTCAGATAGATGGTAAGGTTGCTCATCCAACAAATCGGTTTCTCGCGGTCCGCCTTGAATGTATAATCTAGGATCGTAAATACTCGGATCCATCTCGACAATTTTGAGTGATAGAAGTACAAAACTAAAGAAAAAAATATGATGCGGAAGATCGGGTTTAGCCGCAACCACAGAGCATATTTTTTTCTTCAAGAGTGGTGGGAGTAATAGAGGAAGAAGAATGGAGTGATGTGGGATTTGGTGGAATGGAAGGGGGATCGAGTTTAGGGGACTCGAACCACGACATCGATTTTGCCGCCTTCGATCCGCGTCAAAAGGAGTTCGAGTGTAGGCAAATCGAACGACCAGATCGAGTTATGCAAACTCGATCTACGGCGGAGCGGGTCTGACGTCATCGATCCGCGTCAAGCAGATCGATTCCCAAGCGCTCGATCCACCTGCATCGAGTTATCCCCACTCGATCCGCGTCACCACTTCATCGCGGATGTGGCCATCGAATGGTGTAAATCGATTCCCTTTACCTCGATCTAGGGTGGAGCGCTGCATATGTCATCGATCCATGTCACCTTGTTCGAGTGTTTTGTACTCGATCCACGTAAATCGAGTTTAACACACTCGATCCGCGTCGTCCTGTTCTTGCCAATCGTGGCTGTTTCGCTCGATACACGTGGATCGATCCCTTGACAATCGATCTGGTCCTAGTTCGAGTTTGTTAAACTCGAACCGGTTCAAACTTTGGTAGTTTGGGAAATATTTATAAAAGTGATGTATTATGTGAATTACTTTTAATTTTTACTGTATTTAGGGAAATAATCCCAAAAATCTACCCCACCATATATAAATTAGTTTAATACACTTGTATATCCAAAACTTTCACGGTTGTGCCAATAATATCCAAATTTCCCGAAATACCACTTATATCCAATTCCTTCACATTCTTTAACGGTGTTTTTGGATATACAAGTGTATTTAACAAAAAATATATTGGGAAATTGATAGATTTGGGAAAGAACAACTTTAAAACATGGATATAAGTGGTATTCCGGGAAATTTGGATATTATTGGCACAACCTTAAAAGTTTGGATATACAAGTGTATTAAACCTATAAATTATCTGAATCGCTATTCGTCGCCCTAAAATTCAAATTTTATCGCCCTAAAGTGCACCAAATTGACAATCTTACCCTCTAACCCCAATTTATAACCAAAACCCTAAACAAACAATTATTTACCCTGCCTCCTGCCTAGCTGTCGTGTAACTCAACCCGAACGCTGTTGTCACTGTGAGATTCTTCTCTCCGGCAGCTACCCGCTTCAACCTACCGCCGCTGGTGCTCTGCTTCTACTGCCGGAGTCGGCCATTGGTTGTTGTGTGTTCTTAGGTTAAAATAGGATCTTATATATTAAGGTAGAAGAAAAGCTTGAATCTGGGCAAGGCAAAACGAGCTGATAACCCCAGAAATGACATAAACAGGGTCGTAGGTCCAATATCAATCGGTGCAGATGAGGTTCTAAATCAAATGACATAAATAGAGTTGTCTGAACAACCTTCTAAACTAGCTTGCTTCACTTTTCCTCTACCCTTGCTGGCATTCATCTTGACCTTCCTAGCCGAGTGGCGTGACCGTAGCTAGATCGCAACAATTGTTGTAAGATAAAAGAAGAAATCCAAGAATTAAGCTAAGTTGTATTTTTATTAGGTTAAGTTGGTCTAATCAATCCCTCTGTCCCAACTCGCCGGAGATGGGTGTGTAAATTGTAATCCTTCCGACCCTTCCAGTGGCAGTTTTGAAAGACAACAATTAAGCTAAGGGTATTTAAGTCATTTTAATAAAATTAGAGCGACGAATAAGATATTTTAGGGCGACAAATAGCAATGCCCTAAATTAGGATTACTCTCCCAGCTTCACTGCAGTAAAACATCAAACACCTTCCCTTCATTTTCTCCCAATTTCAATCCCTTGAATTTCAATTTCTTTGAATTCAGTTGTCGGGTTTGGAGGAAGTGATATGCATCTGTATAATGCATGGTTGCCGCCGCCGGTGGCGGAGGAGACGAAGAAGGAAGGGGAGGCCTTCTCCCGCGTCGTGAGCTCCATGCGGAGCTCGTACAAACCCGAAGATCCTGATTCCGTCTACGCCACTCTCAAATGGATTTCCGTCCTCGACGTGTGAGTGGAATTCTGGAATCGCTTCAGCTTCCATTTTGCTGATTTGACTTCGGGACTATTTGCAATGGAGTTTCTGCTTAATTGTTTGTCTATCTGCTTATTCTTTTTCCTAGTTTCCTGAAGGCGAAGAGCGACGTGGCCTTGGAAGATGTCACCGCCGTCGTGGAAATTGGGCTGGAGCTGTTTGGTGTCTCGCAGGACAAGCTTTATGTTCAGGTTTCTCGATCATTTTGTGGCAAAATTATATATTTTTTTCCTGTTCCTTCTGTTGTTTTACTTAGCTCTAGGCGTTTGCGAATTTTGCTTTGTTCAGGTAAGATGGGGAAATATTTTGGTGAGAGTGCTTAATAAGTATAGGAAGAAGTTGACGCTGAAAGTACAATGGCGCCCTTTGTACGATACTCTGGTTCACACTCATTTCTCAAGGTTTGTTAGCTAATTTTTTGGCAAGATGTTCTTAAAATTGGGCGGAAATTTTCAGTTGAATTGTGTATTTCCTACTTCTTGTACTTCACAAAAATTCCAGTTTCGTAACAGGAGTACTGGTCCAGAAGGGTGGAGGGTGAGGCAGCGACACTTCGAGGCCATCACTTCGCTTGTTAGATCATGCAGGAGGTTCTTTCCTGCTGGTTCAGCCTCTGAGATTTGGTCTGAATTTAGGTGTGTGGCTTTGCATCTACTTTCAAATATTTCTGCTTTGTGGTTTCTTTCCTGCTGCTTAAGTAATACATGCTAATTTCATGTGATTCATTGCTGGAAGTTTAGCTGGTTTCATGTGTTTATTTCGAGTATGGACCGTTACTTATATGCTGCCATTTGATTTCCCCACTGGCACGTTCTTTACACAGAAAGTTTCATGCTTTGTTTAGGATAGGCCATTACTTCTTCCCGTCTCATTATATTCATGGATATACATAAAATATAAATAAGACGATCTGGCTTTAACAATCTTTGGGCTTAATATCCTCGCTTTTCCATTGTGCAATACTGATAAATTTTCGACGTCTTTACAGTTCTCTAATGGAAAATCCGTGGCATAATTCATCCTTCGAAGGATCTGGGTTTGTACGACTGTTCCTTCCAACAAATTTGGAAAACCAGGATTTTTATACCAAGTAAGGACCGCGACTTTTGGGGTGTCTTGATGCATTTTGACCACATTTATACGGAAATCTTGAAGCTCATTCTTTCATGACAGTGATTGGGTGAGAAAGACTATGGAGCTGTGGGAATCTATACCAAATTGCCAGTTCTGGAACAGTCAGTGGTCGGCCGTTATAGCTCGGGTCATAAAAAACTATGACTTTGTTGATTGGGAATGCTTCTTACCTGTACTATTCACTCGATATTTAAACATGTTTGAGGTAAGTTTGCTTGGTACTTCAGTTCCTGCCATTTATATTGGAACCAAGTAGCTTTTGGTGATTTTAGGTTAACCTCTGTTCATAACTCGGCCTGCATTAACACCTTATATGGCAACCATATGCAGTGAATCTGAGGTATCTGTTCCTTGGATTATTGTTTTGCTTCATATTTTACTTGATCGCTTGAAGTTTCATTGAATCCATGCCATTTTATGTAGTGACCATTTATTGCAATCGCATTTTCAGTATTCTTTCATTTTCGCCTTTCTTTTTTCTTAACATATGTGACTTTGGCCATCTATATTAATACAATTTAGATTATTTTAACATCTTTAAGCTAATTGTCTGAAACTAACAGGTTCCAGTGGCAAATGGAAGTGGATCATACCCCTTCCTTGTTGATGTCCCTAGAAATACAAGTTCTTATTTTCAAATAGAACACTGACCCCAACAAAAGCTATTGTTAAATCAATTGTAAGATTGGCAATCCTATTCTACAGTATTACTTTCATATATATGTCTCTGTGTGTGTGCATTCTCATATGCCACCTTTTATATGGCCTCAATGCAGGTCTATCTACTAAAGCCTGGTAGTTCAACAGGAAAGCACTTAGAGAAATTGGTCGACCTCTTAGAACAGATTGTTAACTGCACTGTCAAGTCACCAATGCCATCTCTAACCTGTGGATTTGTTGGTTCTTAGTTCATTGTTGTCTCTTTGTAGGTATTACCACCCATCTAATGGTGGCCAGTGGACTTATTCATTGGAGTGGTTCTATATTCTCTAATGTAAATTGCCAGTGGATGAGTTCCTTGAGTGAAGTATTTTGTTTATACTTGTAACCAATGGACATAATAACAGTGCACTATTGTTTGCAGATTTCTACTTTGGATTATAGCATGGATGACTCATCCTTCGTGCCAATGATTCAGATGTCTGAGTGGTTAGATGAGTTCTTGTGTAGGCTGTTCTCCTTACTTCAGCATTTGGAACCTAGCAGTGTCATGTGAGTAGCAGGCTTCAATTCTTCTGATCTCCATGTCTTGCTTATCCATAAGTCCGAATGTCAAGTTACACCTTCCCACTTTCAGTGTCAGAGAACAATTAATTACATGTCTGCGGGAGTGAAGGTTCACATTCGGCAGCAACATCAGGGACATTTTTAGTTGAGGATGGTCCTTATTACTATTGTATGCTTGAAATCTTGCTTGGAAGGCTTTCAAAATCGCTGTACAATCAAGTTAAGTTCTTATCTCCATTTTCCCATACTGTTAATTTCTCTGAAGGATGTAGCTGTTGTTTTCATATCAGTTCCTTGTTATGTGACAGGCATTGAAGAAAATTGCAAAGTTTGTAAGGACAAATATTCTTCCTGCTGCAATTGCTGAGGTTGGCTTGCTTTGCTGTGCATGTGTTCATACGAACCCTGAGGAGGCCGTTTCTGCTCTTGTTGAACCTATGTTGTCTGCTGTTATATCTTCCTTGAAAGGGACGCCAGCAACTGGATTTGGTGGAAGAGGAGTCCTTGAGACCTCAGTTTTGTCGAAGGTTTTGCATCTGTTTGCTTAACTCAGTTCTAATATTAAAAAAGGAAAATCTACCGAGTCTAGCATACTGAAGACCTTCAATTCCTATTTTCAGGCAAAGCCAACATTGTCTCCAGCTCTTGAAACATCAATTGATTGTCAATTGAAAATACTGTCAGTGGCAATCAATTATGGAGGCCCTGTCCTTCTTCGTTACATTATCAATTCTTAGAAGCTGTAGCATCTGCCTTCGAATCTCCCTCCTGGAAGGTCTTGATCTTCTTCTGGCTAACTCTACTTCTGTGCATTTGTGTATTAGTTGAGCAATATGTTTGCTCAGATGTTTTATTTTTGCTAATCTACTGGCATCAGCCTTTTCCCCCCTCATAATCGTTATGTGCTTGGGTAATTACTTTTCTTTTAGGTTAATGGAGCTGGTGATCATCTTCTTAGGTTCCTCATAGGAATCCTAGTCCTTTACTACCCTGTTGATCAGTACAGGTACATAATATCATCTATGACTTGTTTGTTTGATTTCTGAATGCTACATGACTTCTCTTCTGACTACCACAGCAAAGAACTGATTATGTTTGTTCCTCAGGTGCATTTTAAGTCACCCTGCTGCTAGGGCATTGGAAGAGTGGATTGGCACAAAAGATTATGGCGATGAGGACCCATCCATCGCGCCCAAATGGCATGTTCCAAACGACACAGAAGTTCAATTTGCAAATGAGCTTCTGAACCTACATTTGCAGTCAGCTTTAGATGATCTAATGAGGATTTGCCAAGATCGAATCCATTCCGATCCAGGTCATGTCTGGTCATGCCATCCTGTTCCTTCTCTTCTGCATCCTCTTACTTGTGATCATTATTTTGATTTTATGATGACATGTGCATGTCCTGTTACTGTTTTTTGGTGTAATACTATTCATAAGTGAGTACTATTGAGTTGTGCGTGTGTCTTTTCTGAAGAAAATGCCTAACATAAGTTATAGGTGTCATCCCATAACCTCTAGGGTGTACTGTAGACATATCCTATAATTAATTACCGTTCTCCTTTTCTGATTCTTTGTTATTCATTAGCAGGCAATGAGAAATTGCACCTGAAAGTGACTCTTTTGCGGATCGACTCTTCACTGCAAGGTGTTTTGTCTTGCTTACCTGATTTCAGCCCAGCCTCCAGAAATGGGATTGTCAACGATCCGTCTTACATTCCTTTCCTGATAGCTGGAGCAACAGGTACAACTGTTGGCAGCTCTGAACTGCGCGAAAATGCTGCTGAAATTGTACATTATGCTTGCAAGTAAGGTTTTAATGCGATTGTCATCTATTTATTTTGTTTCGTGCTCAACTCAGTTGATTGTTTTATGCCAAGTATTTTTTGGTCTGCTATAATTGCAGATATCTTTTAGAGGAAAAATCAGATGATAGCATCTTATTTGTACTCATAGTGCGGATAATCGATGCTTTGATAAACTACGGTAATAAATATTTGTAATCTAGAAGGAATTTCAGTTTCTGTGCACATTTGCTTTTTCTTAAATTTTATAATTTGTGTGCTATTCTAACATTTGCTACATAGGAAGTCTGGAGTTTGATGAATGGTCAAATCACTGGCAGGCTAGGAAGTTGGAATCTTCTACTATTATAGAACCTCCCATAAATTTTATAGTTTCGTCTCATTCAAAAGGGGGGAAAAGGTCAGTTGGTTGTATTTACTTGATAACTATCTTATTGATAGGAATATTGAATATTGAATTTATTTTTCTATGTCAGGCTTCGATGGGCTCTTATTGACAAGGCTTACATGCATAATACATGGAGAACATCGCAATCAGTGAGAGTGAGACGCCCTTAGGGTAAGGTGGAACGGGACACTTTATTCCTTCTCACATTTGATGGAAAGAGCGATTCTCCTCATTTATCAGGGAAGTGAAAACTAACGCTTGCATGTCTCAGAGAGGGAATTGGGGTCTCTAAAAACCTCCTTGTTGCAGATTTCCGAAGACTATAATTGAGTCGGAAGACTTCAGAAAGTGGAAAAGAAAGACATGGGATCATGCTTTATCTTCTCGTATACTACGCTTGGCAATAGGACCGCCCGGTCAAGAATGAGAGAAGTGACCTACCATCTTTTCCACACTCGTATGGAGGGTAGCACAGCGTCACTTCAGTCAGCACATTTTTGTTCTCCCTCCGATGGCAGGATGCTAAAGCTAACTCCGGAAACGTATCACGAAACACTTGGTAAAATTTTTCCTTAGTGTACTTTCCAGGAGGGAGGGCTACATTGCTTCCTATCCTGTAAGTCTTCATCCATTCTGCAATTGCCGCCCCATACTTATATGTGTCTCGTGAAGTGCAAGTGTCGTGTCTGTAAAATTCATCCAGAATTCAGGTTGTTGTCCTGGCGGGAAGGAAATCCCCACCCAAACCTTATCCCATTCTTCTGACATTCCCGAAGTAACCTATATGCAGTTGCAAAGCATAATACAACACTTAATAGGGGGTGCGAGACAAGGGCAAAACTCATACAAGCAAACCGAGAGGGTAAGAGAAATACTTACAAGGGTCTCGTAGTCATACAAACTTCTCTGCCTTCCATTACCTGCATCACCGTGGCAATATTCCACACTTCCTCCATTTTCATCAACAGCCCAGATTCCATGGGCAACCCAATCGTCCCCTATAAGCTCTGGTTGACATCTAAAACGGGGGTTGGAACAGTAGCCTAGCGGATGTGTTTGCACAAGAAGCTCGTGGAGAAGAGTCGGTTGCTGTCGCTGTGGTATTGGAGCAACTTGGACCCTTGCCGCAAAGACCATCATGGCACCGATGATGAGACAACACAGGAAGACCTTAGTTGTGGAATAAGAGAGCTAATAGAGGTAAAGAGTCTTTGGAGCCATCCTCCTCCTCCTCCTTAATAAGGCTCTGCTGCATTATATTTTCATTGGCCATAAGAATTTAACAAATTCTCTATGGAAGGCTGCATAGGAATTGGAGATGGCAGCTGCTTCCATGTCATGGCCAGGCTGACAGTATTACGCTGGATGGGCAGCTTGACCAGGTTTAGTGAGTTCATTGACTGGAAAAGAAAAACAAATTAAAAGCAGATATATGTCAATAAGCATCATCATCATAAGTAAAAGTGTTTCAAGTTATTGGCATCAACTATAATGTACATTTTTTTATTGCAGTTTAATTATGGGTGGTGAAGGACATCCAAAAGATACACAAGCTTGATTAATTAATGGTTTACTTCATATTTAAACTTGCGTCTGTGGAATGACTTAAACTTCCGAACATCAAAAATTGATGAACACAGTTGCTTAAACTTCCGAATATCAAAAATCGTTAGTTCATCGTCCTACAATAGAACACAAACGATGAACTAGTATGTTATTTCCACCCATGTGGAAGTAATTTTCTTTATCGTTTGTGTTCTATTGTAGGACGATGAACTAACGATTTTTGATATTCGGAAGTTTAAGCAACTGTGTTCATCAATTTTTGATGTTCGGAAGTTTAAGTCAATCCATAGACGCAAGTTTAAATATGAGGTAAACTATTAATGAATCAAGCTTGTGTTATCTTTTGGATGTCCTTCACCACCCATAGTTAAACAAACTGCAATAAAGAATGTACATTATAGTTGATGCCAATAACTTGAAACACTTTTACTTATGATGATGATGCTTATTGACCTATATCTGCTTTTAATTTGTTTTTCTTTTCCAGTCAATGGACTCACTAAACCTGGTCAAGCTGCCCATCCAGCGTAATACTGTCAGCCTGGCCATGACATGGAAGCAACTGCCATCTCCAATTCCTATGCAGCCTTCCATAGAGAATTTGTTAAATTCTTATGGCCAATGGATATATAATGCAGCAAAGCCTTATCAAGGAGGAGGAGGATGGCTCCAAAGACTCTTTACCTCTATTAGCTCTCTTAGTCCACAATTAAAGGCCTTCCTGTGCTGTCTCATCATCGGTGTCATGATGGTATTTGCGGCAAGGGTCCAAGTTGCTCCAATACCACAGCGACATCAACCGACTCTTCTCCACGAGCTTCTTGTGCGAACACATCCGCTAGGCTACTGTTCCAACCCCCGTTTTAGATGTCAACCAGAGCTTATAGGGGACGATTGGGTTGCCCATGGAATCTGAGTTGTTGATGAAAATGGAGAAAGTGTGGAGTATTGCCACGGTGATGCAGGTAATGGAAGGCAGAGAAGTTTGTATGACTATGGGACCCTTGTAAGTATTTCTCTTACCCTCTCGGTTTGCTTGTATGAGTTTTGCCCTTGTCTCGCACCCCCTATTAAGTGTTGTATTATGCTTTGCAATTGCATATAGGTTACTTTGGGAATGTCAGAAGAATGGGATAAGGTTTGAGTGGGGATTTCCGTCCCGCCAGGACAACAACCTGAATTCTGGAACCATGAATTTTACCGCCACGACACTTGCACTTCACGAGACACATATACGCATTGGGCGGCAATTGCAGAATGGGTGGAGACTTACAGGATAGGAAGCAATGTAGCCCTCCCCCTAGGAGCGTACACTAAGGAAAAATTTCATCAAGTGTTTCGTGATACGTTTCTGGAGTTAGCGCAAGCTGCTATACCAACTTTAGCATCCTGCCATCGGAGGGGGAACAAAAATGTACTGACTGAAGTGACGTTGTGCTACCCTCCATACGAGTGTGGAGCACTTGCATACATGCGGGGACATGTTTACAATACTGGACGAGAACGAGAGAGCGGCAATTACTCAGAGACACGAGCAGAGGGTTATTGCAGACAGAGAGGCGGTTAGAAGAGTGACAGAGAGGCTAGATAGAATGTTCGGCAGGGTGTAACTAGCAACCAATTTTTGCATGGAGTTGCATTGTTTTCCTTCTACAGTGTATGTTTGTATGTGCAAGAGTACCTTGTGTTTGTTAACAACCAATTTCAATGAGCAAAACTTCACCCAGTTCTTCCATTAATTCTTACCCGGTTCCAAATTAAGGCGGTTCGTCTTCTTAATAATGCAGGGATATCACCAAAGTTTAATACAATTGGCTATCCTCTCTGTTAAGTCGTAGGGGGGTGTTCTTGTGATTTGGTAGATCAACTGTCTATTTTCTTGAGTGTTTAGGTAAACCTCTTCACAACTGCTTAAACATGCCACCGCCCATGGTTTGTATGCCTCGCCTTAATCCCATGGATTAACAAAAGAATTCTCTCCTCTGGTTCGATGCTTTCAAATTTATTTCCGCCTCCTATACGAACTGTCATTTACCACATCCATTACTGTTTACCACGAGTTACCACCCCTATACAAGGGTGGTTTAGGATAGTATTTTTTTTTGTCCTGTATTTTTCCCCATAAATTTGTACATCCATTAGATCACGATGAACTCGTTTCTTCTGTGGAACTCTTTTTCAAACTTCGAGTTAAAAACGAAGGTGGTACCATGTGGTACCAAAGTGATAATGAGTGGTATGAAGTTTTATTCTCGAAATATATTGAAAATATATCTCATTTTGTGTATCACATCGAACTCGTTTCATTTACGCAAAAAAAAAAAAAAAAAAATTGAAAAAAAAATTAAAACAAAAAGATAAGAGCTGATTAATAAAACTAGAGAAAGTAAATCATTAATTCGCATTCCTTAGATCTAGAGCTGATAATAGGTCGGTTACCGGTTATCAGTATACCACAACCACTCAAGTGGCTTTCGACAACCGATATCGCGTGGCAGCTGGTATAACTAGTTAGCGAACATGCTATCGGTTAAAAATGTGGTTACCGAATAACCAGCAAGCAGCAAAACTGGAACGCCGTGTCGCTTCCTCTGGCCTCTCGAACTCACTATCCGGAACGAAGTAAATCCGCAACAAGTATAATGTCGCCCCGCCTAGCATCATGAGGCACTTGCGCATTACATGAGCGTGGATCGATCGAGTCAGTACTGAAATGCCTTGGAGAAATTGTACTTTAGCTTTTCTAGTGGCGCCAATGCTTCGCTCCCAACACCTTCCATTGCGATCGAGTCTTCGGCGAATCTTTTTTCTCGAACAATCGGTCAATCAATCCAATCAATCGATTGTAACGACGATGACTTATGTGTCGAAAAGGGTTAATTTGGGGTGTCACTTGTAATTGACATATGCCTATAAAAGAGGTTGTGTTGTAATGAAGATTATCGAATAGAATAATCAGAATTTACTTTTCTACTTTCCTCTGCTTCCTTCTTCTTCCTGTTCTTCTTCTTCCTCGACTTTCTTCCCTTTTGTCACCTCAATTCTCAAGAAACAATCACTCGCCAAGGCAATCGACTTCCCCAGGGGTGAAAAGGTGGTATCATAGCCCTGTCTTGGCACAATGGCGGCGACTCAAGGTACAATCGACGAACGCTTGACTAGTTTGATGGCGTCTTCAGCTCAGGCGGAGGCAGCGCTCTACGTCAATATCGCCAACGTTAGGGTGTTGGTGAGTTCGCATACGGTTCAGTTGCAGGAGCTCCTGACCCGCGCGGAAGGTCACTCGCTATAATTCGTTACTCTGACGACGCGATTGGACGATTTAGAGACTCGTTCAACGACTCGCTTCACTGAATTGGCAACTCATTGGCCGGTGGAGGCACTTGTCGGTGCGGTTGCACCGCTGGAGGATCGGAATGGCGCTGAGGGCATTTGCCTCTTCCACAGAATCATCAAGTAGCTGAGCGGGAGCCCTTTCAAGCTGCTCCAGCCCGAGGTAATGCTCCTCTACTGCCCCGATTATAATTTCCCTCTTTCGATGGTGAAGCTCCTCGCGAATGGATTAGAAAATGCGACAAATTGTTTGAGACCTATGCAATCCCTAATGACCAGAAGGTAAATTTGGCTGTGATCGATTTTGAGCGACGGGCTGATGTTTGGTTTGAAGGTTGGAAATATGGCAAAAGTGAATTAGTGTGGGAGGATTTTGTGGTTGCTTTGTGTCAGAGATTTGGTAGTCGTACTTATGGCGGTGTGGTAGCTGCATTCAATAAACTTAGGCAGCATGACTCTTTGGCTGAGTATCAAGAGAGGTTTGAGGAGTTGAGGTCCTTGATGTCGCGATTCAACCCGGCCTTGGATGAGATTTACTTCATTAGCAGCTTTATCAATGGATTGGAGCAGGAGCTGCGGCTAGTTGTGTCTATGATGCAGCCCCAAACATTAGCTGAAGCTTATCAGCAAGCTCGGTTGGATGAAGTTGCCATCGAGACTTGCAAACGAAAGAACACAATCGCATCTTGATGATTGTTTTAGTTCGGATAATGGTGCCACTGAAACTCAGGTGCAACAAAACTTAATTCATGATGATACTGATGTCCTGCCTGTTGATTCTCTTGAACATCGAAATTCTTATGGTGTTGTATTCTCAGATGGATCGTTGATGAATTTCCTGGATACTGGTGGCAATGATTTTGTTATTGGAAGGCCATTTCCTACCCAACCTGCCCTAGTTTTCATTCATTATAGTGAAGGCTTGATTCCTGGTAAAGGGGATTGTATTTTGCTGGCATTTCATGGGTTCTGGTGGCCTCGGGTAAAAACTAAAAGGGATGTGTTTTCCAACTTCAAAGAGCCATATAAGGATTTGGGTTCAAGGGATGTTGTTGGATTTGAAGCTGAGTTGCTGCTGTTGAGGTCGAAACTGCTTTCTAGACGGGGTGGCCAGAATGCATGTGTTGGCGTTGTAGCTGAGGCGATTTTCAGTAGTGATTATGAGCGCTACAGTGTGGGTGCTAGTAAGATGGATAAGGGGTTTTTCGCCTATGTGAACGAGGTTGGCAGCCTGGATCATAGCTGGTTGGTAGTCAGTATTGAAGGGTCTGATATTGTCGTTTTTTGGGAATGAAAGGCTTCATGGTCAGCTTGATATTCATGTTGTAGGGTCTGGCGTTACTTGAACTTGTGGGGAGCAGCTCAAACAGTCCCTAGAAATTTATAGGAGTGGGCCAACTATAACAGCTCCCTCATTCATTTTGGTGAGGGCCAAAGGAGAGAATCATTATGTTGGCTACTTGGGTAACGATGAGCATGTTGTGCACAAGGACACAACTCCATATCTAGATGTCTTGGACAGGTCTAGGATAGGGTCAGTAACCATTGTTTACTGACCTATGAGTAACCAAATCTGAACCATTTATTTAAAAAATTCCGATCTAAGGATGGAGAATTAAAAGTCATTTTTATTTTTCTTAGCTTTTTTAATCGGCTCATATCTTCTTCGTTTAACTCGGATTTTAATTTTTTTTTTTGCACAGATGGAACGAGTTCGTTGTGCTCTACAAAATAAGATCAATTTTCAATTTTTTTTAGAGAAAAAATTTCTTGGCTCTCGGTACCAACTGCATACCATATGGTATCTTCTTCGTTTTTAATTCGTTTTTTAAAACGTTTGCACAAAAGGAACGAGTTCATCATGATCTATTGGATCTACAAATTTCTGGGTGAACAAATTACATTACCAAAAAATACCACACAATACCAACCTGGTACGGGTGGTATATTGTGGTACACAATGTTAAAAGTCGTAAATGACAGTTAATATACTTCTAATATCATGTATTCAACCATCATATAGTCTTGGTTTGTTCATATCACCATGGTACGCTTATCAAACCATAGGTATGCTCTTATTTCAATATCAGTCAATACCATATGGTATAGACTTAGGGATGTCAATCAAACCCATGGCTGCGGGTATCCGACCGCCTCCGACCCAGTCAACGCGGGGAATCTCCACTTTGACCGGGTATGAGGCGGGTATTGGTAAAACCCGCAAAAAGTTTGATGGGTATGGGGCGGGTATGGTTTTAGCCTCCCCCGCCCCATACCCATCCCCATACCCGCCCCACCAAGATAATTTCTTCATATATATAAAAAATATGTGCATCAAATTATAATCTATCAATGATGACGAGGATAACTTGAGAAAATAAATAGTAGAAATGCAATTGATTGACCACCTTAATCAAAATCTAATTCATTTCTCTCAATTCTCATTTCACTCTTTCACTTTCCCCCTTGTCAACAAGATTATGTTAGTTAATTATTATTTAGTAGATGTATCAGAGTTAGAACATAATAATTTGAAAAATATTATACTCTATATTATGTATTAATGGATATTTTAGGATCATAATCTTTGAACCATATTAAAAAAATGACCGTGTTTTATTGACTTCATGATATAATATGTTCGTTTAGAATTATAATTAGAACTTTTCTTGTAAGTTTTAGGTATAATAATGTTGGATGTACGAGTATGGGTATTACCCATGGGTACCCGAAACCCACAGGTATGGGGATGGGTTTGCAAAACATTCCCCTGCATGGGTATGGGGCGGGTATGGGTTTGTGTATTTGAAGATGGGTATGGGGATGGTTGAAGCAAACCCGCCCCATTGCCATCCCTATATAGACTGGTAAAAAATTACTCAATTTTTTTTGTTCGAAAAATATATCAAAGTGGATATCATTTTGAAGAGCACAATTAATCTGATCTAACTGTGCAAAAAAAATTAAATTTCAACTTAAAACGAGTGAGAAATCGTCCCTCAAAGATTAAGGAGGGAAAAATTAAAGGCTTTCCAGGAGAGAGAGGGACACTAATGTCATGCTGATGTGGACGGATTACTCATGGTTATTCACCATAAGGTTACTGACCTGATCCGTTCCCGTCTTGGACATACTAGGAAACCACTCAAAAGTTCAAGTAATGGTTACTACTACCGGTACAGGTGGAACAAGTGAGAAGGGTGACATAATGCGACTGTTTCAACTTATCATTTGCTTGTTGGGACTCATGGGAGGATTCTAAATCTTGAGAAAGAGGATGCCTGCAATTTGAAAGAATGCTCAATGCTTTTTATGGATGGGTTTGGTGTCCTCCAAGGGTTGAATTTTGAAGGTATGGGATAATTTGGAGGAGTGGGGGACATTGTTTTTGTCCTTGGAGTACCACTGCCTACTAAGTCTGCCTTTGTTTTTCACGAGTACAGCAAGGTTGCAGAACTAATTGCTGGGCAACTTCAATCGATTTGGAGGTTGAATGGCAGTTGGGATCATGGGTATCGGATTTATCCTACTTTCTATGGGGTCTGTGTGAATTCTTGTGGAAGATGTTGTAGTCCTGATTTCAAAGAGCCCTACAAGGATCATATGGGAACTGGACTAGTAGATTGTGTTGCTTTCAAAGATGTTTTGAGTCTCATGTGTCGCAGTGGGCTGGGCAGTATGAGTTGGTTGTTCAATGGCAGTATGAGCTGGAGTCACTTGTTGGCACTGCCGCATTTTGCAGCTAGTTGGGATTCAACAGTTCCAGTTGAAGTAGCTTGATCTCATACATTGTTTAGCTCCACATGTGTAGTACATCCCTTGTTGTTTCAGCTCTTTGTTTTGCTTCATCTGTTCATTTTTGTTCATTTCCCTGTTGTCAGTATTGTATTTCTGTTTGCTTTTCATGCATCCTTGAGGACAAGGATGTTCTCAAGGAGTGGGGATTATAACGACCAGGACTTATGTGTCGAAAAGGGTTAATTTGGGGTGTCACTTGTAATTGACATATACCTATAAAAGAGGCTGTGTTGTAATGGCAAGATTATCGAATAGAACAATCAGAATTTACTTCTTCTACTTTTCTTTCCGTCCTCTGCTTCCTTCTTCTTCCTGTTCCTCTTCTTCCTCGACTTTCCTCCCTTTTCTCACCTCAATTTTCAAGAAACAATCACTCGCCAAGGCAATCGACTTCCCCAGGGATGACATCGATCATCTCCATTTTTCATGCAAACAACTATGGGAAAAGAAATTTCAACCGGTCGGTATCACGGATGGAGGGAGATAACTTCTAATAGGAATGAACAAACCGACGATGGAATGAACAAATAATGATTTCCAGGTTTCCCGCGAGCTTACCATAGTGTATTCGCCGAAGACCAGTGAGACGTAGAAGGTAATTCCAATCGACGCCGACGAGATCCCGAGATCTCGTCTCTTGCTATTCGACGATCTCTCTCCCTAGATCGCTACTTGCAAGACCTGATCTGGGATGAAGTTGACTGTCGGTAGAATACTTGTCCTCTGCCAGTATACCGACTTTGCCAATTCCTCCACCAAATACGGGTACCGTCGGTTAATGGTATTGACCGGTTACCGCTGGTTATACCGTTAACCGAGAAACAAATTACCAATCTGGGCTCTCCTGGACACACTCTAAAGTCTAAACTAATGGCCCAAAACATGCCTAAAACTAGGGGTGGATATTGGGGTGAGTGTGGTTACCCGCCACACATTTTGTGGGTAACCACACCTACAAATATAGAATTATGCTACTCACAACTCGCCCCTCAGTGGATAGTGGTTAACCACTATCCGTTGCGGGTTGGTGCGGGTTGGTTGTGAATTCCCACAAATTTCATCATTAAATAAAATAATATGGTAATTATATAATGAAGTTGTGTTTCTTCTCGCACAAAAATAAAAACATACATAAAAGAAAGTTAATAAAGTGTTAAATAAATTATAAATCTCGAATAAAGAGGTTAGTTTGTGTAAATTCAGAAGAGATGGATTTGGAAAGAGATTTGAAGATAACGGAGAGGTGGGGTGTCCTATTGCCAGGCAAACATCGTTGCATGTCACGGCTCCTCCGATGGCAACAACAACAAAACACAAAAGTGGCTCGATAAGTGGAGGCACTCGGTTTTAATGAATCGATTATTCTCCACTCTCAATTATAGTCTTCTATTATTAGTAGCTAGTTGCATGTGTGTGTTGTTCGTGAGTTCGTGGAGAAATGGAGACGAGTTTGAGTATCGAACTAACCTTTATCGATTATTCCCCTCTTCTAACAAATCGATTAATTTATCTGACTATACCTATGAACTTGATTTTGTTATAAAATAAACATATACCACACGGACAATGCTTATTTGATAAAAGTATCTCACACGAACATTGCGTATTGAGTTGATTTTGTTTTATAGAATAAGTACGTATTTGATTTTAGTAGCTACCTTAATTCTTAGTCTTCCAAGTTTCACAAACTAATATAATTAATATGGTTAATGTGGATTTTGTGGGTAAATCACTGTGAGTAGTGGTTAACCACTAATCACAAAAATCAATATTTTGCTACCCACACCCAACCCACTCTCCACAAATTATGGGTATGGGTATCCACAAAGTGTACGATTTGGTGTGGTTTGCAGGTTACCACAACCCGCAAACCATACTTCCACCCCTACCTAAAACGATAGACGCATCTACAAATTTTTTAATAGCGTGCGAGAAATTTATTATGTTAGTCAACTTTTATAATGGCTAGATGTATAATTGTTTTTGCAAGTTGACCCTCAACCCAACCGCACACATCCGCCATCCACGCAACCCAACCCGAAGAGAAATATGAGTAAATAACAGATCACAATTATACTAACCCGCTTATAATCGAGTGGGTCAATTTGTAATCAAAATCCACTCAAGACACCCTATTGACAAGCTCTGTCGATCAGCACTTAGTCCGCTGCCCGCTGTCTAAACTAGAAAACCATTTCACCCTGTGTAAACTGGACAATAGCTCCAGCATAAGATCACAACAAAATGTGTGTCTTGATCAATTCATTTTATCGCATGGCTATTCCGTTTGCTATATAGTAACAAAGGCAACAACAAATCCAATACAATCCTGATAATAGCTCATAATTCATTCCCAGTTGGCGGCAACAACTTGAAAAGATGTCCCACTGCCAAACTTGCTAGGAGCACTTCTACTATGCTATATAGTATTGGTGCTTTAATGTAAAACTCAAAGTTGTACCATAACATTAAATGTATAAGTTTAGGTTGTACCATAAAGCAATTTGTATCATTATGTTATGGTACAATTTTACAACTTGAAGTTGTACCATCACATAAATGTACAAGTTCAAGTTGTACCATAAAAGAATTTGTACAAAAAGTATAGGTACAATATGAAGTTGCATAACGTAAATGTACAATTTTAAGTTGTACCATAAAGGCAAAAACCTATAGCACCAATCATACTATATAGCATTGTAACTAATCCAACCTAGCGATTTCACCCCACATTGACCAAGCTTTCTTTGTAAACCAGAACCCTGCTAGCTACATAAATTATTAGATCCTGTAGATGCAGCCGCCCCCCAAAAGTCGTCGTCGTCGCCGGTAGCCATCGATCGAATTCCCCGCGCAAAATCACCGGTCAGCCGCGGTCTCTTTCTTTCCTTTCCATTCACATTTCTTTCTTGTTTAATAAGAAACAGAACTGACCCAACCCACAAGCCAAAATAAACTTTAAAAAAAAATCCCCAAATCCAAAAATCTACCCCGCTATATATAAATTATTACTCTCCCAGCTTCACTGCAGCAAAACATCAAACACCTTCCCTTCATTTTCTCCCAATTTCAATCCCTTGAATTTCAATTTCTTTGAATTCAGTTGTCGGGTTTGGAGGAAGTGATATGCATCTGTATAATGCATGGTTGCCGCCGTCGGTGGCGGAGGAGACGAAGAAGGAAGGGGAGGCCTTCTCCCGCGTCGTGAGCTCCATGCGGAGCTCGTACAAACCCGAAGATCCTGATTCCGTCTACGCCACTCTCAAATGGATTTCCGTCCTCGACGTGTGAGTGGAATTCTGGAATCGCTTCAGCTTCCATTTTGCTGATTTGACTTCGGGACTATTTGCAATGGAGTTTCTGCTTAATTGTTTGTCTATCTGCTTATTCTTTTTCCTAGTTTCCTGAAGGCGAAGAGCGACGTGGCCTTGGAAGATGTCACCGCCGTCGTGGAAATTGGGCTGGAGCTGTTTGGTGTCTCGCAGGACAAGCTTTATGTTCAGGTTTCTCGATCATTTTGTGGCAAAATTATATATTTTTTTCCTGTTCCTTCTGTTGTTTTACTTAGCTCTAGGCGTTTGCGAATTTTGCTTTGTTCAGGTAAGATGGGGAAATATTTTGGTGAGAGTGCTTAATAAGTATAGGAAGAAGTTGGCGCTGAAAGTACAATGGCGCCCTTTGTACGATACTCTGGTTCACACTCATTTCTCAAGGTTTGTTAGCTAATTTTTTGGCAAGATGTTCTTAAAATTGGGCGGAAATTTTCAGTTGAATTGTGTATTTCCTACTTCTTGTACTTCACAAAAATTCCGGTTTCGTAACAGGAGTACTGGTCCAGAAGGGTGGAGGGTGAGGCAGCGACACTTCGAGGCCATCACTTCGCTTGTTAGATCATGCAGGAGGTTCTTTCCTGCTGGTTCAGCCTCTGAGATTTGGTCTGAATTTAGGTGTGTGGCTTTGCATCTACTTTCAAATATTTCTGCTTTGTGGTTTCTTTCCTGCTGCTTAAGTAATACATGCTAATTTCATGTGATTCATTGCTGGAAGTTTAGCTGGTTTCATGTGTTTATTTCGAGTATGGACCGTTACTTATATGCTGCCATTTGATTTCCCCACTGGCACGTTCTTTACACAGAAAGTTTCATGCTTTGTTTAGGATAGGCCATTACTTCTTCCCGTCTCATTATATTCATGGATATACATAAAATATAAATAAGACGATCTGGCTTTAACAATCTTTGGGCTTAATATCCTCGCTTTTCCATTGTGCAATACTGATAAATTTTCGACGTCTTTACAGTTCTCTAATGGAAAATCCGTGGCATAATTCATCCTTCGAAGGATCTGGGTTTGTACGACTGTTCCTTCCAACAAATTTGGAAAACCAGGATTTTTATACCAAGTAAGGACCGCGACTTTTGGGGTGTCTTGATGCATTTTGACCACATTTATACGGAAATCTTGAAGCTCATTCTTTCATGACAGTGATTGGGTGAGAAAGACTATGGAGCTGTGGGAATCTATACCAAATTGCCAGTTCTGGAACAGTCAGTGGTCGGCCGTTATAGCTCGGGTCATAAAAAACTATGACTTTGTTGATTGGGAATGCTTCTTACCTGTGCTATTCACTCGATATTTAAACATGTTTGAGGTTAGTTTGCTTGGTACTTCAGTTCCTGTCATTGATATTGGAACCAAGTAGCTTTTGGTGCTTTTGGGTTAACCTCTTTTCATAACTCGGCCTGCATTAACACCTTCTTATATGGCAACCATATGCAGTGAATCTGAGGTATCTGTTCCTCGGATTATTGTTTTGCTTCATATTTTACTTGATCGCTTGAAGTTTCATTGAATCCATGCCATTTTATGTAGTGCCATTTATTGCAATCGCATTTTCAGTATTCTTTCCTTTTTCTTAACATATGTGACTTTGGCCATCTATATTACAATTTAGAATATTTTAACATCTTTAAGCAAATTGCCTGAAACTAACAGGTTCCAGTGGCAAATGGAAGTGGATCATACCCCTTCCCTGTTGATGTCCCTAGAAATACAAGATTCTTATTTTCAAATAGAACAATGACCCCGACAAAAGCTATTGCTAAATCAGTTGTAAGATTGACAATCCTATTCCACAGTATTACTTTCATATATATATATGTGTGTGTGTGTGTGTGTGCATTCTCATTCGCCACCTTCTATATGGCCTTAATGCAGGTCTATCTACTGAAGCCTGGTAGTTCAACAGGAAAGCACTTAGAGAAATTGGTCGACCTCTTAGAACAGTTTGTTTACTGCGCTGTCAAGTCACCAATGCCATCTCTAACCTGCGGATTTGTTGGTTCTTAGTTCATTGTTGTCTCTTTGTAGGTATTACCACCCATCTAATGGTGGCCGGTGGACTTATTCATTGGAGCGGTTCCTATTGTATTTGGTAATTACATTCCAAAAGCGCTTACAGCATGAGCAATTGTAAGAATATATTGACATTGCTGTCTTATGTGATGTATGCATGGTATGCATGTGTTTGAATCCTTTCTTTGAAAACACTGGTGTTGCAGGAACAAAGATAATGATAAACATGCTCACCTATTTCTGGGAAGACCAGAGAGGACTGCATTTGTCAAAATATTGTTGAAATTAATTGATCGTGGACAATACTCCAAGAATGAGCGTATGTCTGAGACTGTAGCTGCAGCAACTTCTATCCTATCCTATGTGGAACCGTCGTTGGTTCTACCATTCTTAACATCTCGATTCCATCTGGCCTTGGAGACGGTATGTATTGTAGCATGTATCTGTTGCCAGAATATCTTCTTTTTCTAAAAAGTTTACTGAATAATTGTTCTCCCTCTATAGCCATTTGAATTCTATTTCTCATCACCTTAACCTTTGTTTTTGCATACTTTTGTGTCTAGTCAGATGACTGCCACCCACCAGTTGAAAACTGCTGTGATGTCCGTGGCATTTGCCGGTCGCTCATTGTTCCTGACATCCTTGTCAACCTCTGCCAAAGAGCTACACCCTGCTGGTGATAGCAATACATTCATGGATCTTCTGATGATTTCATTATCAAATGCATTACTTGGTATGGATGCTAATGATCCTCCCAAAACCTTGGCAACCATGCAGCTGATTGGTTCTATATTCTCTAATGTAAGTTGCCAGTGGATGAGTTCCTTGAGTGAAGTATTTCGTTTATACTTTTAACCAATGGACATAATAACAGTGCACTATTGTTTGCAGATTTCTACTTTGGATGATAGCATGGATGACTCATCCTTCATGCCAATGATTCAGATGTCTGAGTGGTTAGACGAGTTCTTGTGTCGGCTGTTCTCCTTACTTCAGCATTTGGAACCTAGCAGTGTCGTGTGAGTAGCAGGCTTCAATTCTTATGATTTCCATGGCTTGCTTATCCATAAGTCCGAATGTCAAGTTACACCTTCCCACTTTCCAGTGTCAGAGAACAATTAATTACATGTCTGCAGGAGTGAAGGTTCACATTCGGCAGCAACATCGGGGACATTTTTAGTTGAGGATGGTCCTTATTACTATTGTATGCTTGAAATCTTGCTTGGAAGGCTTTCAAAATCGCTGTACGATCAGGTTAAGTTCTTATCTCCATTTTCCCATACTGTTAATTTCTCTGAAGGATATAGCTGTTGTTTTCATATCTGTTCCATGTTATGTGACAGGCATTGAAGAAAATTGCAAAGTTTGTAAGGACAAATATTCTTCCTGGTGCAATTGCTGAGGTTGGCTTGCTTTGCTGTGCATGTGTTCATTCGAACCCTGAGGAGGCAGTTTCTGCTCTTGTTGAGCCTATGTTGTCTGCTGTTATATCTTCCTTGAAAGGGACGCCAGCAACTGGATTTGGAGGAAGAGGAGTCCTTGAGACCTCAGTTTTGTCGAAGGTTTTGCATCTGTTTGCTTAACTCAGTTCTAATATTAAAAAAAATAAATCTACTGAGTCTATCATATTGAAGACCTTCAATTCCTATTTTCAGGCAAAGCCAACATTGTCTCCAGCTCTTGAAACATCAATTGATTGTCAATTGAAAATACTGTCAGTCGCGATCAATTATGGAGGCCCTGTCCTTCTTCGTTACAAGGATTGCCAGCAATTAGTTCTGCAACCTTGCTGTACTCGTGAAAAACAAAGGCAGACTTAGTAGGCAGTGGTACTCCAAGGACAAAAACAATGTCCCCCACTCCTCCAAATTATCCCATACCTTCAAAATTCAACCCTTGGAGGACACCAAACCCATCCATAAAAAGCATTGAGCATTCTTTCAAATTGCAGGCATCCTCTTTCTCAAGATTTAGAATCCTCCCATGAGTCCCAACAAGCAAATGATAAGTTGAAACAGTCGCATTATGTCACCCTTCTCACTTGTTCCACCTGTACCGGTAGTAGTAACCATTACTTGAACTTTTGAGTGGTTTCCTAGTATGTCCAAGACGGGAACGGATCAGGTCAGTAACCTTATGGTGAATAACCATGAGTAATCCGTCCACATCAGCATGACATTAGTGTCCCTCTCTCTCCTGGAAAGCCTTTAATTTTTCCCTCCTTAATCTTTGAGGGACGATTTCTCACTCGTTTTAAGTTGAAATTTAATTTTTTTTGCACAGTTAGATCAGATTAATTGTGCTCTTCAAAATGATATCCACTTTGATATATTTTTCGAACAAAAAAAATTGAGTAATTTTTTACCAGTCTATATAGGGATGGCAATGGGGCGGGTTTGCTTCAACCATCCCCATACCCATCTTCAAATACACAAACCCATACCCGCCCCATACCCATGCAGGGGAATGTTTTGCAAACCCATCCCCATACCTGTGGGTTTCGGGTACCCATGGGTAATACCCATACTCGTACATCCAACATTATTATACCTAAAACTTACAAGAAAAGTTCTAATTATAATTCTAAACGAACATATTATATCATGAAGTCAATAAAACACGGTCATTTTTTTAATATGGTTCAAAGATTATGATCCTAAAATATCCATTAATACATAATATAGAGTATAATATTTTTCAAATTATATGTTCTAACTCTGATACATCTACTAAATAATAATTAACTAACATAATCTTGTTGACAAGGGGGAAAGTGAAAGAGTGAAATGAGAATTGAGAGAAATGAATTAGATTTTGATTAAGGTGGTCAATCAATTGCATTTCTACTATTTATTTTCTCAAGTTATCCTCGTCATCATTGATAGATTATAATTTGATGCACATATTTTTTATATATGAAGAAATTATCTTGGTGGGGCGGGTATGGGGATGGGTATGGGGCGGGGGAGGCTAAAACCATACCCGCCCCATACCCATCAAACTTTTTGCGGGTTTTACCAATACCCGCCCATACCCGGTCAAAGTGGAGATTCCCCGCGTTGACTGGGTCGGAGGCGGTCGGATACCCGCAGCCATGGGTTTGATTGACATCCCTAAGTCTATACCATATGGTATTGACTGATATTGAAATAAGAGCATACCTATGGTTTGATAAGCGTACCATGGTGATATGAACAAACCAAGACTATATGATGGTTGAATACATGATATTAGAAGTATATTAACTGTCATTTACGACTTTTAACATTGTGTACCACAATATACCACCCGTACCAGGTTGGTATTGTGTGGTATTTTTTGGTAATGTAATTTGTTCACCCAGAAATTTGTAGATCCAATAGATCATGATGAACTCGTTCCTTTTGTGCAAACGTTTTAAAAAACGAATTAAAAACGAAGAAGATACCATATGGTATGCAGTTGGTACCGAGAGCCAAGAAATTTTTTCTCTAAAAAAAATTGAAAATTGATCTTATTTTGTAGAGCACAACGAACTCGTTCCATCTGTGCAAAAAAAAAAATTAAAATCCGAGTTAAACGAAGAAGATATGAGCCGATTAAAAAAGCTAAGAAAAATAAAAATGACTTTTAATTCTCCATCCTTAGATCGAATTTTTTAAATAAATGGTTCAGATTTGGTTACTCATAGGTCAGTAAACAATGGTTACTGACCCTATCCTAGACCTGTCCAAGACATCTAGATATGGAGTTGTGTCCTTGTGCACAACATGCTCATCGTTACCCAAGTAGCCAACATAATGATTCTCTCCTTTGGCCCTCACCAAAATGAATGAGGGAGCTGTTATAGTTGGCCCACTCCTATAAATTTCTAGGGACTGTTTGAGCTGCTCCCCACAAGTTCAAGTAACGCCAGACCCTACAACATGAATATCAAGCTGACCATGAAGCCTTTCATTCCCAAAAAACGACAATATCAGACCCTTCAATACTGACTACCAACCAGCTATGATCCAGGCTGCCAACCTCGTTCACATAGGCGAAAAACCCCTTATCCATCTTACTAGCACCCACACTGTAGCGCTCATAATCACTACTGAAAATCGCCTCAGCTACAACGCCAACACATGCATTCTGGCCACCCCGTCTAGAAAGCAGTTTCGACCTCAACAGCAGCAACTCAGCTTCAAATCCAACAACATCCCTTGAACCCAAATCCTTATATGGCTCTTTGAAGTTGGAAAACACATCCCTTTTAGTTTTTACCCGAGGCCACCAGAACCCATGAAATGCCAGCAAAATACAATCCCCTTTACCAGGAATCAAGCCTTCACTATAATGAATGAAAACTAGGGCAGGTTGGGTAGGAAATGGCCTTCCAATAACAAAATCATTGCCACCAGTATCCAGGAAATTCATCAACGATCCATCTGAGAATACAACACCATAAGAATTTCGATGTTCAAGAGAATCAACAGGCAGGACATCAGTATCATCATGAATTAAGTTTTGTTGCACCTGAGTTTCAGTGGCACCATTATCCGAACTAAAACAATCATCAAGATGCGATTGTGTTCTTTCGTTTGCAAGTCTCGATGGCAACTTCATCCAACCGAGCTTGCTGATAAGCTTCAGCTAATGTTTGGGGCTGCATCATAGACACAACTAGCCGCAGCTCCTGCTCCAATCCATTGATAAAGCTGCTAATGAAGTAAATCTCATCCAAGGCCGGGTTGAATCGCGACATCAAGGACCTCAACTCCTCAAACCTCTCTTGATACTCAGCCAAAGAGTCATGCTGCCTAAGTTTATTGAATGCAGCTACCACACCGCCATAAGTACGACTACCAAATCTCTGACACAAAGCAACCACAAAATCCTCCCACACTAATTCACTTTTGCCATATTTCCAACCTTCAAACCAAACATCAGCCCGTCGCTCAAAATCGATCACAGCCAAATTTACCTTCTGGTCATTAGGGATTGCATAGGTCTCAAACAATTTGTCGCATTTTCTAATCCATTCGCGAGGAGCTTCACCATCGAAAGAGGGAAATTATAATCGGGGCAGTAGAGGAGCATTACCTCGGGCTGGAGCAGCTTGAAAGGGCTCCCGCTCAGCTACTTGATGATTCTGTGGAAGAGGCAAATGCCCTCAGCGCCATTCCGATCCTCCAGCGGTGCAACCGCACCGACAAGTGCCTCCACCGGCCAATGAGTTGCCAATTCAGTGAAGCGAGTCGTTGAACGAGTCTCTAAATCGTCCAATCGCGTCGTCAGAGTAACGAATTATAGCGAGTGACCTTCCGCGCGGGTCAGGAGCTCCTGCAACTGAACCGTATGCGAACTCACCAACACCCTAACGTTGGCGATATTGACGTAGAGCGCTGCCTCCGCCTGAGCTGAAGACGCCATCAAACTAGTCAAGCGTTCGTCGATTGTACCTTGAGTCGCCGCCATTGTGCCAAGACAGGGCTATGATACCACCTTTTCACCCCTGGGGAAGTCGATTGCCTTGGCGAGTGATTGTTTCTTGAGAATTGAGGTGACAAAAGGGAAGAAAGTCGAGGAAGAAGAAGAACAGGAAGAAGAAGGAAGCAGAGGAAAGTAGAAAAGTAAATTCTGATTATTCTATTCGATAATCTTCATTACAACACAACCTCTTTTATAGGCATATGTCAATTACAAGTGACACCCCAAATTAACCCTTTTCGACACATAAGTCATCGTCGTTACAATCGATTGATTGGATTGATTGACCGATTGTTCGAGAAAAAAGATTCGCCGAAGACTCGATCGCAATGGAAGGTGTTGGGAGCGAAGCATTGGCGCCACTAGAAAAGCTAAAGTACAATTTCTCCAAGGCATTTCAGTACTGACTCGATCGATCCACGCTCATGTAATGCGCAAGTGCCTCATGATGCTAGGCGGGGCGACATTATACTTGTTGCGGATTTACTTCGTTCCGGATAGTGAGTTCGAGAGGCCAGAGGAAGCGACACGGCGTTCCAGTTTTGCTGCTTGCTGGTTATTCGGTAACCACATTTTTAACCGATAGCATGTTCGCTAACTAGTTATACCAGCTGCCACGCGATATCGGTTGTCGAAAGCCACTTGAGTGGTTGTGGTATACTGATAACCGGTAACCGACCTATTATCAGCTCTAGATCTAAGGAATGCGAATTAATGATTTACTTTCTCTAGTTTTATTAATCAGCTCTTATCTTTTTGTTTTAATTTTTTTTTCAATTTTTTTTTTTTTTTTTGCGTAAATGAAACGAGTTCGATGTGATACACAAAATGAGATATATTTTCAATATATTTCGAGAATAAAACTTCATACCACTCATTATCACTTTGGTACCACATGGTACCACCTTCGTTTTTAACTCGAAGTTTGAAAAAGAGTTCCACAGAAGAAACGAGTTCATCGTGATCTAATGGATGTACAAATTTATGGGGAAAAATACAGGACAAAAAAAAATATCCTAAACCACCCTTGTATAGGGGTGGTAACTCGTGGTAAACAGTAATGGATGTGGTAAATGACAGTTCGTATAGGAGGCGGAAATAAATTTGAAAGCATCGAACCAGAGGAGAGAATTCTTTTGTTAATCCATGGGATTAAGGCGAGGCATACAAACCATGGGCGGTGGCATGTTTAAGCAGTTGTGAAGAGGTTTACCTAAACACTCAAGAAAATAGACAGTTGATCTACCAAATCACAAGAACACCCCCCTACGACTTAACAGAGAGGATAGCCAATTGTATTAAACTTTGGTGATATCCCTGCATTATTAAGAAGACGAACCGCCTTAATTTGGAACCGGGTAAGAATTAATGGAAGAACTGGGTGAAGTTTTGCTCATTGAAATTGGTTGTTAACAAACACAAGGTACTCTTGCACATACAAACATACACTGTAGAAGGAAAACAATGCAACTCCATGCAAAAATTGGTTGCTAGTTACACCCTGCCGAACATTCTATCTAGCCTCTCTGTCACTCTTCTAACCGCCTCTCTGTCTGCAATAACCCTCTGCTCGTGTCTCTGAGTAATTGCCGCTCTCTCGTTCTCGTCCAGTATTGTAAACATGTCCCCGCATGTATGCAAGTGCTCCACACTCGTATGGAGGGTAGCACAACGTCACTTCAGTCAGTACATTTTTGTTCCCCCTCCGATGGCAGGATGCTAAAGTTGGTATAGCAGCTTGCGCTAACTCCAGAAACGTATCACGAAACACTTGATGAAATTTTTCCTTAGTGTACGCTCCTAGGGGGAGGGCTACATTGCTTCCTATCCTGTAAGTCTCCACCCATTCTGCAATTGCCGCCCAATGCGTATATGTGTCTCGTGAAGTGCAAGTGTCGTGGCGGTAAAATTCATGGTTCCAGAATTCAGGTTGTTGTCCTGGCGGGACGGAAATCCCCACTCAAACCTTATCCCATTCTTCTGACATTCCCAAAGTAACCTATATGCAATTGCAAAGCATAATACAACACTTAATAGGGGGTGCGAGACAAGGGCAAAACTCATACAAGCAAACCGAGAGGGTAAGAGAAATACTTACAAGGGTCCCATAGTCATACAAACTTCTCTGCCTTCCATTACCTGCATCACCGTGGCAATACTCCACACTTTCTCCATTTTCATCAACAACTCAGATTCCATGGGCAACCCAATCGTCCCCTATAAGCTCTGGTTGACATCTAAAACGGGGGTTGGAACAGTAGCCTAGCGGATGTGTTCGCACAAGAAGCTCGTGGAGAAGAGTCGGTTGATGTCGCTGTGGTATTGGAGCAACTTGGACCCTTGCCGCAAATACCATCATGACACCGATGATGAGACAGCACAGGAAGGCCTTTAATTGTGGACTAAGAGAGCTAATAGAGGTAAAGAGTCTTTGGAGCCATCCTCCTCCTCCTTGATAAGGCTTTGCTGCATTATATATCCATTGGCCATAAGAATTTAACAAATTCTCTATGGAAGGCTGCATAGGAATTGGAGATGGCAGTTGCTTCCATGTCATGGCCAGGCTGACAGTATTACGCTGGATGGGCAGCTTGACCAGGTTTAGTGAGTCCATTGACTGGAAAAGAAAAACAAATTAAAAGCAGATATAGGTCAATAAGCATCATCATCATAAGTAAAAGTGTTTCAAGTTATTGGCATCAACTATAATGTACATTCTTTATTGCAGTTTGTTTAACTATGGGTGGTGAAGGACATCCAAAAGATAACACAAGCTTGATTCATTAATAGTTTACCTCATATTTAAACTTGCGTCTATGGATTGACTTAAACTTCCGAACATCAAAAATTGATGAACACAGTTGCTTAAACTTCCGAATATCAAAAATCGTTAGTTCATCGTCCTACAATAGAACACAAACGATAAAGAAAATTACTTCCACATGGGTGGAAATAACATACTAGTTCATCGTTTGTGTTCTATTGTAGGACGATGAACTAACGATTTTTGATATTCGGAAGTTTAAGCAACTGTGTTCATCAATTTTTGATGTTCGGAAGTTTAAGTCATTCCACAGACGCAAGTTTAAATATGAAGTAAACCATTAATTAATCAAGCTTGTGTATCTTTTGGATGTCCTTCACCACCCATAATTAAACTGCAATAAAAAAATGTACATTATAGTTGATGCCAATAACTTGAAACACTTTTACTTATGATGATGATGCTTATTGACATATATCTGCTTTTAATTTGTTTTTCTTTTCCAGTCAATGAACTCACTAAACCTGGTCAAGCTGCCCATCCAGCGTAATACTGTCAGCCTGGCCATGACATGGAAGCAGCTGCCATCTCCAATTCCTATGCAGCCTTCCATAGAGAATTTGTTAAATTCTTATGGCCAATGAAAATATAATGCAGCAGAGCCTTATTAAGGAGGAGGAGGAGGATGGCTCCAAAGACTCTTTACCTCTATTAGCTCTCTTATTCCACAACTAAGGTCTTCCTGTGTTGTCTCATCATCGGTGCCATGATGGTCTTTGCGGCAAGGGTCCAAGTTGCTCCAATACCACAGCGACAGCAACCGACTCTTCTCCACGAGCTTCTTGTGCAAACACATCCGCTAGGCTACTGTTCCAACCCCCGTTTTAGATGTCAACCAGAGCTTATAGGGGACGATTGGGTTGCCCATGGAATCTGGGCTGTTGATGAAAATGGAGGAAGTGTGGAATATTGCCACGGTGATGCAGGTAATGGAAGGCAGAGAAGTTTGTATGACTACGAGACCCTTGTAAGTATTTCTCTTACCCTCTCGGTTTGCTTGTATGAGTTTTGCCCTTGTCTCGCACCCCCTATTAAGTGTTGTATTATGCTTTGCAACTGCATATAGGTTACTTCGGGAATGTCAGAAGAATGGGATAAGGTTTGGGTGGGGATTTCCTTCCCGCCAGGACAACAACCTGAATTCTGGATGAATTTTACAGACACGACACTTGCACTTCACGAGACACATATAAGTATGGGGCGGCAATTGCAGAATGGATGAAGACTTACAGGATAGGAAGCAATGTAGCCCTCCCTCCTGGAAAGTACACTAAGGAAAAATTTTACCAAGTGTTTCGTGATACGTTTCCGGAGTTAGCTTTAGCATCCTGCCATCGGAGGGAGAACAAAAATGTACTGACTGAAGTGACGCTGTGCTACCCTCCATACGAGTGTGGAAAAGATGGTAGGTCACTTCTCTCATTCTTGACCGGGCGGTCCTATTGCCAAGCGTAGTATACGAGAAGATAAAGCATGATCCCATGTCTTTCTTTTCCACTTTCTGAAGTCTTCCGACTCAATTATAGTCTTCGGAAATCTGCAACAAGGAGGTTTTTAGAGACCCCAATTCCCTCTCTGAGACATGCAAGCGTTAGTTTTCACTTCCCTGATAAATGAGGAGAATCGCTCTTTCCATCAAATGTGAGAAGGAATAAAGTGTCCCGTTCCACCTTACCCTAAGGGCGTCTCACTCTCACTGATTGCGATGTTCTCCATGTATTATGCATGTAAGCCTTGTCAATAAGAGCCCATCGAAGCCTGACATAGAAAAATAAATTCAATATTCAATATTCCTATCAATAAGATAGTTATCAAGTAAATACAACCAACTGACCTTTTCCCCCCTTTTGAATGAGACGAAACTATAAAATTTATGGGAGGTTCTATAATAGTAGAAGATTCCAACTTCCTAGCCTGCCAGTGATTTGACCATTCATCAAACTCCAGACTTCCTATGTAGCAAATGTTAGAATAGCACACAAATTATAAAATTTAAGAAAAAGCAAATGTGCACAGAAACTGAAATTCCTTCTAGATTACAAATATTTATTACCGTAGTTTATCAAAGCATCGATTATCCGCACTATGAGTACAAATAAGATGCTATCATCTGATTTTTCCTCTAAAAGATATCTGCAATTATAGCAGACCAAAAAATACTTGGCATAAAACAATCAACTGAGTTGAGCACGAAACAAAATAAATAGATGACAATCGCATTAAAACCTTACTTGCAAGCATAATGTACAATTTCAGCAGCATTTTCGCGCAGTTCAGAGCTGCCAACAGTTGTACCTGTTGCTCCAGCTATCAGGAAAGGAATGTAAGACGGATCGTTGACAATCCCATTTCTGGAGGCTGGGCTGAAATCAGGTAAGCAAGACAAAACACCTTGCAGTGAAGAGTCGATCCGCAAAAGAGTCACTTTCAGGTGCAATTTCTCATTGCCTGCTAATGAATAACAAAGAATCAGAAAAGGAGAACGGTAATTAATTATAGGATATGTCTACAGTACACCCTAGAGGTTATGGGATGACACCTATAACTTATGTTAGGCATTTTCTTCAGAAAAGACACACGCACAACTCAATAGTACTCACTTATGAATAGTATTACACCAAAAAACAGTAACAGGACATGCACATGTCATCATAAAATCAAAATAATGATCACAAGTAAGAGGATGCAGAAGAGAAGGAACAGGATGGCATGACCAGACATGACCTGGATCGGAATGGATTCGATCTTGGCAAATCCTCATTAGATCATCTAAAGCTGACTGCAAATGTAGGTTCAGAAGCTCATTTGCAAATTGAACTTCTGTGTCGTTTGGAACATGCCATTTGGGCGCGATGGATGGGTCCTCATCGCCATAATCTTTTGTGCCAATCCACTCTTCCAATGCCCTAGCAGCAGGGTGACTTAAAATGCACCTGAGGAACAAACATAATCAGTTCTTTGCTGTGGTAGTCAGAAGAGAAGTCATGTAGCATTCAGAAATCAAACAAACAAGTCATAGATGATATTATGTACCTGTACTGATCAACAGGGTAGTAAAGGACTAGGATTCCTATGAGGAACCTAAGAAGATGATCACCAGCTCCATTAACCTAAAAGAAAAGTAATTACCCAAGCACATAACGATTATGAGGGGGGAAAAGGCTGATGCCAGTAGATTAGCAAAAATAAAACATCTGAGCAAACATATTGCTCAACTAATACACAAATGCACAGAAGTAGAGTTAGCCAGAAGAAGATCAAGACCTTCCAGGAGGGAGATTCGAAGGCAGATGCTACAGCTTCTAAGAATTGATAATGTAACGAAGAAGGACAGGGCCTCCATAATTGATTGCCACTGACAGTATTTTCAATTGACAATCAATTGATGTTTCAAGAGCTGGAGACAATGTTGGCTTTGCCTGAAAATAGGAATTGAAGGTCTTCAGTATGCTAGACTCGGTAGATTTTCCTTTTTTAATATTAGAACTGAGTTAAGCAAACAGATGCAAAACCTTCGACAAAACTGAGGTCTCAAGGACTCCTCTTCCACCAAATCCAGTTGCTGGCGTCCCTTTCAAGGAAGATATAACAGCAGACAACATAGGTTCAACAAGAGCAGAAACGGCCTCCTCAGGGTTCGTATGAACACATGCACAGCAAAGCAAGCCAACCTCAGCAATTGCAGCAGGAAGAATATTTGTCCTTACAAACTTTGCAATTTTCTTCAATGCCTGTCACATAACAAGGAACTGATATGAAAAACAGCTACATCCTTCAGAGAAATTAACAGTATGGGAAAATGGAGATAAGAACTTAACTTGATTGTACAGCGATTTTGAAAGCCTTCCAAGCAAGATTTCAAGCATACAATAGTAATAAGGACCATCCTCAACTAAAAATGTCCCTGATGTTGCTGCCGAATGTGAACCTTCACTCCCGCAGACATGTAATTAATTGTTCTCTGACACTGAAAGTGGGAAGGTGTAACTTGACATTCGGACTTATGGATAAGCAAGACATGGAGATCAGAAGAATTGAAGCCTGCTACTCACATGACACTGCTAGGTTCCAAATGCTGAAGTAAGGAGAACAGCCTACACAAGAACTCATCTAACCACTCAGACATCTGAATCATTGGCACGAAGGATGAGTCATCCATGCTATAATCCAAAGTAGAAATCTGCAAACAATAGTGCACTGTTATTATGTCCATTGGTTACAAGTATAAACAAAATACTTCACTCAAGGAACTCATCCACTGGCAATTTACATTAGAGAATATAGAACCACTCCAATGAATAAGTCCACTGGCCACCATTAGATGGGTGGTAATACCTACAAAGAGACAACAATGAACTAAGAACCAACAAATCCACAGGTTAGAGATGGCATTGGTGACTTGACAGTGCAGTTAACAATCTGTTCTAAGAGGTCGACCAATTTCTCTAAGTGCTTTCCTGTTGAACTACCAGGCTTTAGTAGATAGACCTGCATTGAGGCCATATAAAAGGTGGCATATGAGAATGCACACACACAGAGACATATATATGAAAGTAATACTGTAGAATAGGATTGCCAATCTTACAATTGATTTAACAATAGCTTTTGTTGGGGTCAGTGTTCTATTTGAAAATAAGAACTTGTATTTCTAGGGACATCAACAAGGAAGGGGTATGATCCACTTCCATTTGCCACTGGAACCTGTTAGTTTCAGACAATTAGCTTAAAGATGTTAAAATAATCTAAATTGTATTAATATAGATGGCCAAAGTCACATATGTTAAGAAAAAAGAAAGGTGAAAATGAAAGAATACTGAAAATGCGATTGCAATAAATGGTCACTACATAAAATGGCATGGATTCAATGAAACTTCAAGCGATCAAGTAAAATATGAAGCAAAACAATAATCCAAGGAACAGATACCTCAGATTCACTGCATATGGTTGCCATATAAGGTGTTAATGCAGGCCGAGTTATGAACAGAGGTTAACCTAAAATCACCAAAAGCTACTTGGTTCCAATATAAATGGCAGGAACTGAAGTACCAAGCAAACTTACCTCAAACATGTTTAAATATCGAGTGAATAGTACAGGTAAGAAGCATTCCCAATCAACAAAGTCATAGTTTTTTATGACCCGAGCTATAACGGCTGACCACTGGCTGTTCCAGAACTGGCAATTTGGTATAGATTCCCACAGCTCCATAGTCTTTCTCACCCAATCACTGTCATGAAAGAATGAGCTTCAAGATTTCCGTATAAATGTGGTCAAAATGTATCAAGACACCCTAAAAGTAGCGGTCCTTACTTGGTATAAAAATCCTGATTTTCCAAATTTGTTGGAAGGAACAGTCGTACAAACCAGATCCTTCGAAGGATGAATTATGCCACGGATTTTCCATTAGAGAACTGTAAAGACGTCAAAAATTTATCAGTATTGCACAATGGAAAAGCGAGGATATTAAGCCCAAAGATTGGTAAAGCCAGATAGTCTTATTTATCTTTTATGTATATCCATGAATATAGCGAGACGGGAAGAAGTAATGGCCTATGCTAAACAAAGCATGAAACTTTCTGTGTAAAGAACGTGCCAGTGGGGAAATCAAATGGCAGCATATAAGTAACGGTCCATATTCGAAATAAACGCGTGAAACCAGCTAAACTTCCAGCAATGAATCACATGAAATTAGCATGTATTACTTAAGCAGCAGGAAAGAAACCACAAAGCAGAAATATTTGAAAGTAGATGCAAAGCCACACACCTAAATTCAGACCAAATCTCAGAGGCTGAACCAGCAGGAAAGAACCTCCTGCATGATCTAACAAGCGAAGTGATGGCCTTGAAGTGTCGCTGCCTCACCCTCCACCCTTCTGGACCAGTACTCCTGTTACGAAACCGGAATTTTTGTGAAGTACAGGAAGTAGGAAATACACAATTCAACTGAAACTTTCCGTCCAATTTTAAAAACATCTTGCCAAAAAATTAGCTAACAAACCTTGAGAAATGAGTGTGAACCAGTACAAAGGGCGCCATTGTACTTTCAGCGACATTTTCTTCCTATACTTATTAAGCACTCTCACCAAAATATCTCCCCATCTTACCTGAACAAAGCAAAATTCGCAAACGCCTAGAGCTAAGTAAAACAACAGAAGGAACCGGAAAAAAATATATATATATTTTGCCACAAAATGATCGAGAAACCTGAACATAAGGCTTGTCCTGCGAGACACAAAATAGCTCCAGCCCAATTTCCACGACGGCGGTGACAGCTTCCAAGGCCACGTCGCTCTTCGCCTTCAGGAAACTAGGAAAAATAATTAGCAGATAGACAAACAATTAAGCAGAAACTCCATTGCAAATAGTCCCGAAGTCAAATCAGCAAAATGGAAGCTGAAGCGATTCCAGAATTCCACTCACACGTCGAGGACGGAAATCCATTTGAGAGTGGCGTAGACGGAATCAGGATCTTCGGGTTTGTACGAGCTCCGCATGGAGCTCACGACGCGGGAGAAGGCCTCCCCTTCCTTCTTCGTCTCCTCCGCCACCGGCGGCGGCAACCATGCATTATACAGATGCATATCACTTCCTCCAAACCCGACAACTGAATTCAAAGAAATTGAAATTCAAGGGATTGAAATTGGGAGAAAATGAAGGGAAGGTGTTTGATGTTTTACTGCAGTGAAGCTGGGAGAGTAATCCTAATTTAGGGCATTGCTATTTGTCGCCCTAAAATATCTTATTCGTCGCTCTAATTTTATTAAAATGACTTAAATACCCTTAGCTTAATTGTTGTCTTTCAAAACTGCCACTGGAAGGGTCGGAAGGATTACACACCCATCTCCGGCGAGTTGGGACAGAGGGATTGATTAGACCAACTTAACCTAATAAAAATACAACTTAGCTTAATTCTTGGATTTCTTCTTTTATCTTACAACAATTGTTGCGATCTAGCTACGGTCACGCCACTCGGCTAGGAAGGTCAAGATGAATGCCAGCAAGGGTAGAGGAAAAGTGAAGCAAGCTAGTTTAGAAGGTTGTTCAGACAACTCTATTTATGTCATTTGATTTAGAACCTCATCTGCACCGATTGATATTGGACCTACGACCCTGTTTATGTCATTTCTGGGGTTATCAGCTCGTTTTGCCTTGCCCAGATTCAAGCTTTTCTTCTACCTTAATATATAAGATCCTATTTTAACCTAAGAACACACAACAACCAATGGCCGACTCCGGCAGTAGAAGCAGAGCACCAGCGGCGGTAGGTTGAAGCGGGTAGCTGCCGGAGAGAAGAATCTCACAGTGACAACAGCGTTCGGGTTGAGTTACACGACAGCTAGGCAGGAGGCAGGGTAAATAATTGTTTGTTTAGGGTTTTGGTTATAAATTGGGGTTAGAGGGTAAGATTGTCAATTTGGTGCACTTTAGGGCGATAAAATTTGAATTTTAGGGCGACGAATAGCGATTCAGATAATTTATAGGTTTAATACACTTGTATATCCAAACTTTTAAGGTTGTGCCAATAATATCCAAATTTCCCGGAATACCACTTATATCCATGTTTTAAAGTTGTTCTTTCCCAAATCTATCAATTTCCCAATATATTTTTTGTTAAATACACTTGTATATCCAAAAACACCGTTAAAGAATGTGAAGGAATTGGATATAAGTGGTATTTCGGGAAATTTGGATATTATTGGCACAACCGTGAAAGTTTTGGATATACAAGTGTATTAAACTAATTTATATATGGTGGGGTAGATTTTTGGGATTATTTCCCTAAATACAGTAAAAATTAAAAGTAATTCACATAATACATCACTTTTATAAATATTTCCCAAACTACCAAAGTTTGAACCGGTTCGAGTTTAACAAACTCGAACTAGGACCAGATCGATTGTCAAGGGATCGATCCACGTGTATCGAGCGAAACAGCCACGATTGGCAAGAACAGGACGACGCGGATCGAGTGTGTTAAACTCGATTTACGTGGATCGAGTACAAAACACTCGAACAAGGTGACATGGATCGATGACATATGCAGCGCTCCACCCTAGATCGAGGTAAAGGGAATCGATTTACACCATTCGATGGCCACATCCGCGATGAAGTGGTGACGCGGATCGAGTGGGGATAACTCGATGCAGGTGGATCGAGCGCTTGGGAATCGATCTGCTTGACGCGGATCGATGACGTCAGACCCGCTCCGCCGTAGATCGAGTTTGCATAACTCGATCTGGTCGTTCGATTTGCCTACACTCGAACTCCTTTTGACGCGGATCGAAGGCGGCAAAATCGATGTCGTGGTTCGAGTCCCCTAAACTCGATCCCCCTTCCATTCCACCAAATCCCACATCACTCCATTCTTCTTCCTCTATTACTCCCACCACTCTTGAAGAAAAAAATATGCTCTGTGGTTGCGGCTAAACCCGATCTTCCGCATCATATTTTTTTCTTTAGTTTTGTACTTCTATCACTCAAAATTGTCGAGATGGATCCGAGTATTTACGATCCTAGATTATACATTCAAGGCGGACCGCGAGAAACCGATTTGTTGGATGAGCAACCTTACCATCTATCTGAAAGTGTTTGGGCGGCAGATCCGGTAAGCACTTCCTCGTGTACTTTTCTTTTTTAAATGTGATAGAATTCTTCCAATTTTTTTGTATAATAATTAATATTTTTTTTTTCTACAGGAACAACTTGACGTAATCACCCATCGGTCACTATCTCGCTTGCCTAAATGGGATGATCGTATCGAGCCCTTCATTGAAAGAGCATGATTGCTGAGGGTGCGAAAGTTTGTGGGGATGGAGATGGACAACAACCTTCTTACGGCAATGGTGGAAAGATGGAGAAAAGAAACGCACACATTCCACCTTCTAGAGGGAGAGATGAAGATTACGTTGAAGGAAGTAGCCATGCTGACAGAGCTTCCAATCGATGGTGATGCAATAATAGAAAGTTCACAGAAACCATTGAACGGTTGGGACCAATTTATAAGCGAGCGTTTAGGTATCAACATCCCCGAGGAAGCACAAGAAGGTCGTCGTGTACCACCTCTACACAAGTCTATGGTATTGATACCTTGGCTAGTGAGGACCGTTGGGGAATTACCGGAGGATGCCACGGATGCTCAGATAGAGAGGTATGCTCGCATCTACCTTATTTGTTTGGTTGGAGGATTTTTGTTTCCGAACAAGTCTGGTGGAAATATGCATTGTATGTGGCTTCGAGTTCTTTTGGGAGATTGGGACGAGATTGGGAGAAAAAGTTGGGGATCTGCTTGTTTGGCGATGATATATTCGGAGTTGTGCAAGCGTACGGATCAGAAAACAAAGCAAGCGGGTGGTCCCATGTTCATCCTCCAACTATGGGTTTAAGAGCACCTTCCTACTTTCGCTCCGATCTACCCTGCCAACAGTTGGGGTCCCGATGAGCCACTACGACAATGGGCTTATGGTGCTAGATGGATTGGAGCTATCACGAGACTCACCTCTCTAGACGGGTACTGCCAACATCTTGACCTTATAGAATTCAACGAGGTAACATTCTAGCTTATGTTTATGAATGCTAATTTATTTGTTGAAGTTATTTGTCTTAGCCCATGATTTATTTTTACGATTATGAATAAGTTTTTATTTTTTGAAATTATTTGTCTTAGTCATAGCCTATGATTATTTTTATGATTACGAATTCTATTTTATTTGTTGAAATTATTTGTCATAGCCTATGATTTATTTTTATGATTACGAATTCTATTTTATTTGTTGAAATTATTTGTCATAGGCTATGATTTATTTTTATGATTACAAATTCTATTTTATTTGTTGAAATTATTTGTCTTAGCCCATTATTTATTTTTATGATTTTGAATCCTATTTTATTTGTTGAAATTATTTGCTTCAATTTTAATTTATATGTTGTGTTGAAAGTTAGGTGGAGTGGGATCCGTATCCAAACGGAGCAAAGGATTTGTACGAGTTGCGATACCCTGAGGATCGTCGACTCTGGTCGTGCAATTTGCCTGTGATTTGCCACAACATTGTTGAGTGGCACCTCCCGGATAGATGTGTCCAACAATACAATTGGGCGCAACCGATTCCTCTCCCACCACCGGACGTACATAAGTCACTCCACAAGTACAGCAAGGATCTGCGGGGTACAATAAGTGATTGGCCAACCAAGCACCATAGATGGATTGAAATGTGGGAGTCTCGTCAGACGTATGCAATTGATGGGATCCCAATGACGAGGCCAATGGGGTACCAAGATGAATACATGATTTGGTACCGCAAGTTCAAAATAAGATGGGTAACCAAACGTGGCGCGTGATCGGTTCATTGGTAAGCACAATATCTATTTACTATAATCACTTTAGCTACGTACACAAAGAGTGTTTGACTAACATGTTTATTGTTTAGGTTGATGGGTTGGAACTTGCATCAATGACGTTGGAGAATGAACAAGAACAAGATGTGCTAGCTGAGAAAATTTCATTCTTGAAGAAGCTCTTCAAGAATCTCTTGTCATGTTCGCGAGAAATCCGAAGGGATGTCATTGCATATCCTCCTCCACCTGCACCGCCACGTCCTTCCTCCCACGCCATTGAAGTTGAATCTCTCCCGCCATCACCACCAAGGAGGAGTAAACGTCGGCAAGAGCCAGTTACAGTCCCTGTGCACGTACGAGTAGATGTGGCACTTCCTGACCCATACGAGTATGGATTCCCTCCCGTCAGAAGGGAATTCGGAGAGGGATCATCAGGTCCTGCTCAAGGAGGGGGAGGAGGAGCCTACTATGCTTCATCGTATGGTCATCAATTCCAAACCCTGTAGCAAAGCTTCCAGACTCAGATGACAAATGTTTATTATGGTTCTCCAGCCACTGCAACCCCACCTCCATTGCCACGAAATACTGGAATTAGATATGGAGTTCGTTCAAGGAATAGACGTCGAAGAGAGGGACGCGGACGTGGTGCACAAGAGTGAGGTGTTCTTTAGAGTTGTTAAGTTGTTCTATTTCTTTAGAGTTGTTAAGCTGTTCTATTTCTAATGACGTTGTTAAGTTGTTCTATTTCTTTAGAGTTGTTAAGTTGTTCTATTTCTAACGACGTTGTTAAGTTGTTCTATTTCTTTAGAGTTGTTAAGGTGTTCTATTTCTAATGACGTTGTTAATTTGTTCTATTTCTCTAGAGTTGTTAAGTTGTATATTTTCACAACATAAAATTCATATTACAACATAAAATTCAAATTACAACATAAAGTTCTTAAATCACAACATAAAATTCAAATTACAACATAAAGTTCTTAAATCACAACATAAAATTTAAATTACAACATAAACTTCTTAAATCACAACATAAAATTCAAATTACAACATAAACTTTCAATTATTAGTCGATGGCCCTGGACACTGGCGCCTATCATGCCCTTCAACTCGACATGCAGAGCACTTCTTCGGGTGGCGTCGCTGTGTCCTTGATCTATCCATTTTATTTGCAATTCGGTTAACTCTAGGTCGACCTTTGGTACGCTTCATGTGCTCGGGAGGGTACACTACAGGTCCATCATATTGGGACCAATATGCTTCATGAGCCAAGGGAAAGAACGACCCTTCCCAAACTCTGACCACGTATGGAGTCTTGTAGTATGGACTAACAAATATCAAAGGGTCCAAATTAACGCTTCTCGCAGCTGCATATGCATGAGAGCAAGGCAGGTGTCTCCCTTGAAACTTCCCACAAGTACACTCTCCTATCCCATTCTTTGCATCCAGTATAACTGTTTGAGCATTACCACCCTTTGAACTATCTGGTCCACTTCCTGTTACTACTGCGAAGCGGGAATCTCTTCGACTAAATAAAGTCACCTTGTGCCATTTTACCCTTTCTGACCATGGTTTCATATCATCCGTAATCTTCTTTAGCAAGTAGATTCCAGCATTCAGCATCTGATATGCTGCTTGGTAGCGTTCAACGAACCATGTCACCGTACGAAAGAAGGTATGCAAGACTATAGATGAGATAGGCATTGCACGAAGACCAACATACAAACCATTGAGGCACTCACCCATATTCGTTGTTGTTATTCCATACCTATACCCTTCGTCTTGATGTAACGTCCACCTCTCAAAAGGATGAGTTTCTAGCCAATCTGCACCTTCAGAGTGGACCTCCCTTATGCTCTTCATTTTGTCTACAAACTTTCGAGTCTGAAAAGCAATAGCTACAATAAAGCAAAATAAGGTTAGTAAAGGAGTATACGCATTCAACCAATTGATATAATCACAACATCTTATTTGTTCTTACCAGCGTGCCAAACTGCACGTTGTCCATAAGTTCTACCAAAGTGCTTCCCGTAATTGCTTTTGAAATGTCGTATGTACCAGCGCCACTTCCACCCTAGCTCCTCGGGCAGGTCGTAGAAAGCATGTGCAATTCCATAGTGTCGATCAGAAAGTATGGCAATGTCCTTCCGTTGAGTGACATGAGTGTATAGTTGGGAAAAAAACCATGCCCAACTTAAGTTGTTCTCCGATTCGACTATAGCAAAAGCAAGCGGGAAAAGTTGCATACTGCCATCAACACTAGTGGCAATGAGTAGAGTGCCCTTGTATTTGCCGGTCAGAAAGGTGTCATCAACTTGGATTATTGGCAGACAATGGGTGAAACCATCAATGCATGGTTTGAATGCCCAAAATAGTCGCTTAAACACGCGTTTAGCACCCCCATAGAAATCTTCGTAACTAGGCACAAAAACAGACCCAGAATTCTTGTCCACCATTGCAAGAATCAAGCGAGGCATGTTAGCAAATGCCTCTTCCCAATCACCATACACCTCTGCCATAGCTTTTTGCTTCCCATGCCATGCTTTCTTGTAACTGATGGTATAGCCATGTCGATTCTTCACTTCAGCGATGACACTCTTCACGGTGATCCCAGGTTGTGCCTCAATCAAATGTTTGATTGTTTGTGCAACCTTCCTTGCACTCAATTGTCGGTGATCTAGAGAAATCAGTGACGACCTACAAGTGTGGTTGTTGTCTGTCTTACGAATGAGCCAAGCCCCATTTCTTTTAACATATGCCGCCCGAACATGCCACATGCATCCGTCGCCATGGTTCTCGCAACGAACACGAATTTGTTTAGTGTCAGAAGTGATGACACGATATTGAAAGCTTCTTCGCATAGCAGTTTCTTTCAATGCATCGACCACCTGAGACTTTCCTCCAAATGTTTGGCCAACCACGAATCCAGAGTCAGGAGTCCATATTGGTATAGGAGGGAGGTCAGGATCGTCGTGTGAGCATAGAGAGGATGTTGTGGCACCATCGTGTAGTGAGGTGTGGGGGGCTCAAATTCCCCCTCATCAACTTCCAGATCTTCACCATCTGAACTACTCATTGATTCTAACTCTTCATCTTCCACGTCGCTTGCCTCGCTAGTGTACGGAGGACTTGGTTTATCCACATATGGATCATTGTTGATGCCAGATGCTGGTGTAGATGCTTGTCTGGGTGACTGTCTGGGTGCCCTTATGTAATCCCATTCTTCACCCCATACTGGCCACTCATGTCCGTCATGTTACACCAATGGACCAGTTGCAGTTCGATCCTCGTATGTTGGCCATGGTGCTTCATGCCGGACTCTGAAATCTCCTGAACCGGAAATCCCTCTCGATCCTTCACCTTGTTCGGTATAACCGCCGCCACCATATTGGCCAAAAACATCTGTCTCGACATACACCTCAGCAGTTGGAAATCTGTTCTCTGCAATAAATCTCACCATCATATTAATGTCATCATCGTCAGACAAAACTGATCCTTCATATACAAGTGCATAATCCTTGTAAACCGGCATACGGTAAGTCATCTTGCATACTCTTCGCCCTCCTATGCAACATCGTTCCGCACAAATATGACTGAGTTCTTGCCAAGTAAATATGCTCTCAATCCGGACAATACTTGATTCACCATCTTCGTAGTCAATACTATCATGAAAATGTGTAATTCGACCATTCCACCGAATCTTTAAGTCGAATTTTCGAAATTTTCTACCCATTTCTGCAGTTTATAGAAGCAGCTCATTACATACAGTACAAACAATACTAAATTAATCCAAAATTCTAATATGCTCATTCAAACAACGTAAGCAGAACTTACCTCCAAAAATTTTTCTTCTTTGCTCAGCTATGGTGCTCCAGCAGCTGCAGTTTGTGTTTGGAAGAAAGAAGATAGAAAGGAAGAGAGCTGCCAGAATGTGCTAAGTGATGGCTTTTTATCCTCGTAAACTGATGGAGTGGTTCGAGTCCAAAAAACTCGAACTACACTAGTTCGAGTCCATTAAACTCGATCTAGGGCAACCAATAATTTTACCCCTGCACCCTATTCTGGAGCATGTCCGATCGAAAGCGACTGGACAGAATGATTGAGCTGTAGTTTGAGTTCAGTGTAATCGAACTACACTAGTTCGAGTCCCTAAAACTCGATCTATGACAACAAAGAATCTTATCCCTGCAACCCTATCCTGAAGCATGTCGGTGGACCAGTGGTTCGAGCCCATTGGAATTGATTTAGGTTGTTCGAGTCTTAAGGCATCGATCTTGTGCAGATATGGATCGAGTGCTTTAAAGTTGTTGTACTACAACGAGGTTTTTGGCATTGATCTAACTGGATCAAGTTGTCCATACTCGATCTACTATGATCGAGTCTTTTGTCATCGTTCTACTTTGATCGATTTCTCCAAAATCGAACTAATGTTGATCGAGTTTTAGTAACTCGATCTAATTTCAGTTCGAGTTCTTCATCGTCGAACTGGAGAGTAGTTCCAGTTTATGGGACTCGAACCCTCTGAAACTTGGGTAGTTTGAGAAAATTTTATAAAACTTATGTATTCCGAGAATTATGTTTAATTTTGGGTTAACACCCTAGTTTGGCCCCAAGTTTAGCGTAAGTGTCAGTTCTGGCCCCATTTTTCAAATAAGACATTTGTGGCCTACTTTTGAAATTATTGGACAAATTTGGCCTGCATTTTGAATTGACCGTCAAAATTGACGGTCAACCATTTTCTCCGTAAGTGACTCGACATCCACTAATGACTAGGACGTCCACATCATTTAAAAGTAAAAAAAAAGTGATGGTCAAACGAAACCCTTTCCTCTATCTTCTTCCTCTTCTAACTTCCACCTCCACCCATTGCGAAATCCTTCCCCAAATTTCCTTCCCCATCCTACAATCTCTAGCTGCCTCTCATTGTCGCCATCCCTGGCTGACTTCCTTGTATCAATGGCAACCCTCGTCGTCAGAGTCAAGCCACCACATCTTTTCCCTCTTTCACTCTACTCCAGATCTAGGTTGGGGATCTGAAACAGTTTTGAAAACCGAAGAACCCAAACCCAAAATTTCAGTTCTGGGAATCGTTTGGAGAGACGACCATTGACAGCTGCTTCTTCCAATGAGAGACGACCATTGGCATACTCGCTCTCGCCGGACGCACGCGCGTCGCACTGCTGCACCGCCAACGCTCCCCGTCGCCTTCGCTTCTGCAGAAGAGGCACCATCACGAGTTCGACGAGGAGAGGGATAGGGGCAATCAAAGAGCAGCAACTGATCTTGTGGATGGGATCTCGATGGAGCAACAACAAAATCGGACGGACAAGAAAAATGGTAGGGGAGATGGAGCGGAGGTAGCCGATGATGGGAATGGTGGCGAGGATGGGGTTGTGATGATAGATGTTAGGGATTCCATATTACTATTCGGTGGCGATGGGAGTGAGTTGGGTGGGAGGGACTTTGTTTTAAATTTTTTAATCTAAATAAATGGTGTGGCAGCCACCTCGGATCCACCTCAATATTTTGATGCTGAGTCATCGACGAAAAAATAGTTGACCGTCTATTTTGACGGTCAATTCAAATCGTAGGCCAAATTTGTCCAATAATTTCAAAAATGGGCCATAAATGTCTTATTTGAAAAATGGGGCCATAACTGTCGCTAACGCTAAAGTTCGGGCCAAACTAGGGTATTAACCCTTTAATTTTTACGGTATTCTGGGATCTAATTTTTTTTAGTTTATTTTGGCTTGTGGGTTGGGTCAGTTCTGCTTCTTATTAAACAAGAAAGAAATGTGAATGGAAAGGAAAGAAAGAGACGGCGGCTGACCGGTGATTTTGCGCCGGGAATTCGATCAATGGCTACCGGCGACGACGACGACTTTTGGGGGGCGGCAGCAGCTACAGGATCTAACCAGCGCGGGTAAATTGCCAATTCCTAGATGGATGGATCGTCGTTGAAAGGGTAGGTAAATTGTGGAATAATGCCATTTTAGCCCCTAAACATTTTTCTTTTCCCAAATGAGCTACTAAACTTCTGTTATTTTACTTGCAAGTCCACAAACCGGTCCCACTCAAAGGTTGACCTGGGCTTATTAGGCACCAGCCCAATCGTTCGCGAGGGAAGTCCAGGAGCCCAAAGGCCCGTAAAGAAAGGAACCGAGCTAGGAGATAATAATTTAAATAAATAAAAAGAAGAAACAAATATTACCGTTAAGGAAAGTAGCCGTTGAAACAGAGAGAATCCCAGGCGTTTCACCAGCAATATATATACACCTGAAACTTCCCCTCCATCTTCATTTCCCTCCATTACCAAGCATCGATCCATTCTCAATCTCTCAACTCGCCTTCCTTCCTTGCCTTCTGTTCCCAAGTCTTACTGCTCATTCGTTTTCTCTTCTTGTTCTTCTGCGTTGCACTTCCGATTGTACTCTGTTTCCACTCTGTTTACAGTTCCAGTTTCCATTAATCTTCTAACAAATGACGGAATCCCATCACATCGTCGAGATTCCAGTCGACAACGAAGAGCAGAGGCAGCTCCTCGTCGTTGCGACGGCGATCCAGAACCACCCGCTGACGGAGATCTCCCGCAGCCCGGGGCATTTGCTCCTCCTGAAGCTGTGGCAGAGGGAAGAGGATCTCAGCGGGCGGCGGATCGCCGCCAAGGAATCGCGACTCGATTCGATCAAGCGAGAGATCTTCCAGCTCTGCTCCTTCTTCCTAATCTTCCACGGACTCTTCTTCACCATACTCTTCACTTCTTCTTCTTCATCTTCTGGAGAGGGGAAGTGCGGGAAATGGTGGGTACCAGGGGTAGTTTCCTTGTGCACCTCACTCGTGTTTGTGTGGTTGGTACAGGTGCAGCTGTACAGGTACTGGAAGGTGTGGAAGAGAGTGGGGAGGGAGCGGTGTGACGGGCGGGCGGTGGCGAGGTGTATTCAGGAACTGAGGATGAAAGGCGGGAGCTTTGAGCTGGGGAAAGATCCCTACTGCACCGGCGGCAAGAAGATGAAGAGTTCAAGTGTGGAAATTAAGTGGAAGCCGGTGACTTGGGTTTCCCAGAACTCAGTAGCAATCGGTTTGCTTTGCTTTGCGGGGTTGGCAGTTTTGGCTTCAAGATTAGTTCTTTGCGGCGGATTTTAGTACAGATGAGGGGAAAACAGAGATTAATGGCAACAGAAGATGGTGGTTCGAGGTAAGATGATTGATTCATTTGTTGAGATAGTGTAAAGATAGTCTCGTTTCATTGCCTTGAGGTAAAGATCTGATATTTGGATTCTTCTCTTCGGTTGTTGATATATGCAGATTTGTGTTGGTGAGAAAGGGGGATGGGGAGCAAGAAAGCATTGCCATGTGAATGCAAAAGAATTGGAAGAATTGGTTATGCTAGAGAATTTACCATGACGAAACTCGGAGCTTGAGACGACAGGAGAAATGGCGCTGCTACTACTACCCCTAATCGCTAAAGATCTAACTCGCCCTAACCTCAGAGACTTGACTACTTTGGGAACTTGTTGTACACATCACATACACTGCTTGTGTGAACTATTTTCTTTCAGTAGGCAAAAGTGCCATTCATTCATTCATTCATTCATTCATTCATCCATCCAATAAGACTAGTAACATTCATTCTTCCAAGTAACTGAGATTTGAGAGATTGGTGGCCATAATTAACTTGCTACTACAATTTCAAGTAAAATGCATACGAGCTGGTACAAACAAACTCTAGGCCGAGTCGAAGCCAAATATACGGAAAACACCTGCAATAACAAGAAAAATCAAGTTGGATGGGATTGGATTTATGAACTCATTCACATTTCTCAAATTCAATGTAAATGAAGAAAGAAGTGCAGCACCTTCATCAGCCTGGTATTTGTTCTTGTCATCCCCAGCATATGCAAGTAAATTGTACTTGGGGTTCCACTCGACACTGTTCATGGCAGCTCGACAAGGGATCTGGTGAACTGTTCGACCGGTTTGAACATTGGACTGTTTTGAACGATTGCAGGGTCAGGCAAAAGAAACGGTAACTGGTTTGAGGATTAATAAAGTTTCAGGAAACATACTATGTCGATAAACAAGTCTTCACTTGCAGAAGCTATGAACTCTCCAGTGTGATTGAAGCTTATTGTCCTGACAGGCCACCTGAGTTGACAACATATTGTTTTATCCCCCCAGTTAGTTAGTTTGTTCGTTGAGAACTTAGATATAAGGTAAGACAATAAAAGGAATAGCTCCAAATAAGACTAATCAAAACTCACTCTAGCTTTGTAAATGTCCTAACACAAAGCATCTCTGATATATCCCAAAGACTGACTAGTGAATCAGCACTCCCCACTGCGAAATATCTGTGAGCAAAGAACTTAAGTTAGTGGTTCTATGACTCACGTTCAGTTCACATACCATTAAAGTTTGGAACTTTGAAACTTCTGAACCCGACCTTCCTTTTGGATCAATGGCGATGCAGTAGCACCCAGCTGTATGTGCCATAAGAGTGTCCACTGGCCGAAGAGCTGGGTATGCAAGCACTTCAACAGTACCTTGGGGGGGGGGGGGGGAGGAAAACTTAGCAATAAGATAACCTGAGCACTGTTCAATGCAAAATAAGCAATGACCATTGAGAAAATCGTTATTACCATTCCCAGTTGTCAAAAGGAACATCCCTCCTGTCATATCCCAAGCAATCTCATTAACCTAAGAAGAAGAGAGCACGATACATATTTCAGGTCACAGTAAAAGCAGAAACAGGCCAATAAGAAGCATCCTCATAGACACAAAAGTTCAATTTATTGGCATCAAATATAATATACATTCTCCTTTGCAGTTTGACTATTGATCTTGAAGAACATCCAAAGGAAACACGAGCTTGATTCTTGAATAGGCTTACCTCATAATTAAACTTGCGTTTGTGGATTGGCTTAAACTTCCGAACATCCAAAATTGTCAGTTCGTCGTCCTACAATAAAAACATACGATCACGAAAATTACTTCCAGATGGGTTGAAAGAACATACTAGATCATAAGCTCATAGACAAACTACCAGAAATACTCTCGGTTTCGTATGTGTTAACATACCCTATTACCAACAGCTACGTGGGTGCCATCCGGTCTGTAGGTAATATTAATATTTTCTCCACTAAGTTCTGCCTGCTGAGAGCATTTTCCACCTGCAGAATTCCAAGGAAAAATTGATTGGACTCTCTTCTCCTAACATTCATGTAGTAAGAAAATGGAAACCAAGACTGTGCTTCCATTTAGGCTCAAAATCTTAACATATAAGGCAATCTTGTTTCTGCTTCCTGTTCATCCATTTTCCTTGCTGAATACTGGTACATGAAAGTGAAAATTACTCACTGCGTGCATCCCATAGACGAACAGTCTTGTCTCCAGATGCAGTTGCAATAAGCTCAGAATGTTTAGGATCCCAACAGAGCTGATCTACACTATCTGTGTGGCCTTTCAACTCGATGTCTTTAATTTTTCCCTGCAGCAGATATTTTAGCATTAACATACAAATCATGCATCCGACTGCCACAGAAGGAGACATTTACAACTGATAGAGCACCAAACAGAACTTGGCAATCTTCACAAGGAGACTACACTGTGCTTATGGAAGCATCTAAGTCAAAACTTAACTTCCTACTTCCTAAGCATCAGCAGCTAACAAACTGAACAAGAAGAATGCCCGCAACGACAGCTACTAAGAATAACTGACACCCATTTACGGAAATCAAATACCAAGCACATATAGCTCACTATATATACACACACATCGAATCAATGACATTCACTAGAGACCCAATTGGTTTCAGGAGGAACGAGCCATTAATCACGTTCCAGAAGCACCCCCAAATCTCAAAAACGTCAATTTAGGAATCTAGGAATTGCGAAGTAATAGCTTTGTATGACTCACATGGCTGTGGGGTTCAATGAGCCAAATTCGAGCAGTTTGATCAACGGAGCCAGAAGCGAGCTTGGTACCAGTACAATTCCAAGCCACCGAATGAACCTAACGATCCAAGTCACACACACCCATTAACGGAGAAACAAATTACCAACAACAAGAAATGGAAGATTCGGAAAGAGGGGATAGTGGATAGATTGGGTATGCTAAACAGCGAAGCAGAAACCTTCTTCTTGTGACCTTGGTACTCTCTGCTGTGCAAGTTCTTGAAGGGTATTGCTGTTTCCTCCATCTCTTTTCTCCGCCGCTCGGACAACGGAAGACGGTGGAGGATGGGAGCCGAAAGGCGGAGAATGCAGAGTAAGCTACCGGTGGCGCCTAATTTGATTATTATAGACGGCGGGACCGACTACTAATTGCCGGGTTGCCGAATTTTAGGGCACCACTAAATTCAATTAATTTCATTTTGGTTGCAACCAAAATATAGGTGGTTTGTTCTTTCTCAAAACAAAAATTCTAAAAATGTAGGTGGCTTGCATGAGTAATTGACAGGAATCCATTCAATTAAATTGATTCATTTAATCGAAATATCTCGTTTTGACACAATGGATCAAATTGATTCGTTCATTATTAAAAAAAATTGGATATGGCAATTTGGGCCGATAAATTTAAGTTTTTCCTTTATGAGAAATTTCATTGTTCAGGGAAAAGGCACGTAATTTGTATTGATTTATTATAATCACTCATTTTTATTGAATGAGACAATTTACCAAATTATCTCATTTCTAAATTGATAAATCCAACGTTTCACGAGTGATTTGTTATTATTTTTTTATCGGAATAAAATTTATGTTTGTATTTGGTATTTTGGTTTAATGGGTTTAACAAATTTTTGGAGAATTATACAACTATTTTATGCAAGTGGAAGGCAATTTTTATTCACTAAAGCGATAAATTATCATTTCGAAATGATCTTTATTAGTTGGTTAGATTGGTCAGGCGTTTGACTCATATGAGAAAGATATAAGTTTGAAATTTAGTGACTTAATACCAATTTATCTTTTTATATGAATTTAGCAAGTATTCATGGCAGTCTATTTTTGTCTGTTACTACAATGCTTTATAAGAGGCACGTAAATGACTCATCTCATAGTAAGAAGTAATTTTGTGATTGACTGTTGGGTGCGGATAAAGTTTATGATTTTTCACAACCAAGTGAAAAGGTGACGTTTAAATGTCGACATGTCAAAACTGTGTAAAGAGAAATCTACTTGCCTAAGTCAAAGTACAATAACACAAGATGATGGTTAATTACAACATCATTCCAAAATTCAAATTTAAAGGAAAAATTGGCCACAAGAAAGAGAAATAACAAATAACTAATTGCGAGTTAAACAACATTTTGTACATGAACAAATTGTGAGCTTATTACATCCATGAAGCTAAAGTTTAAGCTAAATTCTTATTTTCTTTTATCTTAAAACAAGTTATATACTCAACCAAACACTTCTAGATACCCCAACGTTCATGTGATTGATGATCCCATGGTGGTTGAATTACTTGTCCTCCGTGAAGCGATTTTATGGTGCATAAACCATGGTTTCACAAAAGTTCGGTTTGAAGAAGATGCGAAGGTGATCATTGAGAAGATCATTCGGTCGAATACCAGAGATAGTAGGATGGGAGCTATTCTCGAAGAAATTGTGCATTACTTCACCATCCATACGGGGTTTAGTATTAGATTTGTAGTTCGGCGTAGCAATAGTAAGCACATTTGGTGGCTCGAAAGACCCTTTCTTCGTATCCGACTACAAATCATTTGTTTGATTTTCAGGCCTGGCTGAATTACAGAATGTAACTGTCTCGTTTTTTAAATCAATACATAATTATCTTTTGTTAAAAAAAATACCCAACAAAAATCATACACAAGAAGTTAACTCGTCAATTCTCATCCCCAAACATAGGTATTAGGTATAGCAAATACCATACTTCAAATGCAAATTACGAGATGCAATATTACATCATACTGAGAGAATGGTGGTAAGACTAGAGAGCTCAATCTTATTAAGCTCAAAGAAAACAAGAATAGAAGCAATTCAATCTCCTTTCTCTTTTGCCTCTCCTTTCCTTTGAGAAGTACCATGGAACAACAATTGCTCATAGTACCGCTGACTACATTACAAGCTCGATGTCTAAATGTAATTACCATTTCTTCACAACTCCATCGGTATCAACTCACACCTTTATCTCCTCTTCCACAATCCTTCTCTTCATTCATCGATATGGTTACCTTCATCGTCCACAAGCGTCATCATCATCAGCCCATTGAGTAGAAGGCTAAATGCAAACAGAAACTCGTTGATGTTCACCACTGCATATTTTCACCCCCAGCTGACTCCTATACCGTTTTTCCTATCAAAGTAGAGCAACAAATATCATGTATCAGGACATGTCTATCTTCCTGTTTGTCAATGTAGAAACATTCATGCAGAAATGAGTTATCGAATCGAACTGATATATGGGGCGATAGATGAAGTACCAAATGTTTTCAAGCTAGTTGTCTTGTAGCACGTTCCACCAAATTCTTTAGGGCTTGAATCATCTCTTCTTACTCGCAAAATCATCCTTGTTGTTGCCCAAGAACACAAATGCACCAACTAATGTTTCAAAATAAGCCCTTCGAATTAAGCATTCCCAACTTTGGTTTCCAGCATGGTAATGGAAATACAATCACAGGAAGCAGCAAAATAATGAGCTTGCCTACAACTAATATTGCAATTTCCAAGGGAAGCCAAAAGAGTAACTGAACACGGGAGTTTGGGTCACACAAAAAAACTTGCATGTACTAAAAATATGTTTGAATAACATCAGATTTTTATAGTTTATAGATGATCTAGAGGACCATAAGGTTACTTGGAAGATAGAAAATCTGAAAGTGAGAAGTTGTTTTAACAAGCAAAAAGTAGCAGCAAGTTATCATGTAAAAAATCCAGCAGCTACTAACAGAAGGCGCAAAATTTATACCCTACCATGTATTGGTTAGAAAATAAACATGCAGCATCAATTATGTTACACACACAAAGCATTTACCACTCGGTTTTGACAGATTCTGTTCAGCAGCAGCATACTTGAGACGATACACCAGACAGAGAAGTGCTACGACCTCATGAAAGTTCATCCCACAGTTGTCATTAATACCACGTCCCTTAGAAAGCTCATTGATCTCCTCTTCAGTGAAAGAACTTTTCAGATTGTCCAACAATATCTACACACACACTGACTAGGTTTCCAAAGTCAGGAAATGTTGAGGTGAAACACTCCCACGCTCAACAAAACGCAATAGAAGACTATCTGCCTCCTTTGACTTTCCTTCTGCCTTCAGTTTCTTGCTCACCTTCTCACACAACTTTATGTCAGGGATCAAATTGCGGTTAAAACATACGACAAGCAACATTATAAGCAGACAAAGGCACTCCTTTACTCAAATGACTCTCCATTAGCACATGGCATGTATTAGCATCAATTCTGGAGGCTGTTCTCAATACATTACCCAAGAGTTTGTCAGCTGCTTCTGGGTTTCCGAACCTACATAGCTTCTCAATTACTTGATTATACACTGTTCTGATCTTCTGTCGTGAAAGCATTTTATCCAACAATTTCAACAGATCTTCCACTCTACCCATTTGGCAATACCCATGGATCACCGTTCTAATGTCACGGGTGTAGGATCTACACCTTGCTTAAGCATCTTTGTAGCAATCTCGGTAGCTTCATCCATTCTACCCTTTTTACACAGTGCATCAATTACAGCAGTATAGGTGACTGCATCAGGATGCTTGTTGCTCAGGTACATGTCATCCAGCAAAGACAAAGCTGCTTCTAAGTTATCATTCTGACAAAACCCATGAATAACAGTAGTGAAGTTCACTGAATTCACAGCACAACCATTATGTAGACACTCCTCCATGAACTTCTTAGCAACATCCGCCTTACCTCCACTGCAAAGTGCCTGGAGTAGTTGATTAATTTCAACTGGAGTAGGGAAAAATCCTTTGCCAACCATCTCTCTCACCACATCACAAGCTTCAGACAGTTTTTCCTCCCTCCTTAACCCATGCATGACGACACTATACGTGATGGCGTTCGGCGTCCACCATTCTTCCTCACTCATATTCATCATTTCCCTAGCCTTGGATGAGTTTCCATTTCGACAAAGCCCATTCAAGAGAGCTGTATATGACACAGTATTAGGCTTGCAGCCATGTTTGTACATTTGCTGAAGCATCCTTGTAGCTTGTTCGACCTCCCCAACTTGACAAAGTCCATTAACTACAGCAGTGTAGGTCACTACATCAGGAGCACAACCTTTGGACAACATTTCATTCACAATTTCTTTTGCCCGGTCCATCTTACCTTGCTTACAATACGAGTCAACTACTGCACTATACTCAACCTTATCAACTGGAAACCCTCTTTCCTCTGCTTCCCTCAAAAATACAAGTGCTTCATCTGAATGTTGGTGCTTGGAAAGAACATGAATCAGAATGTTGTAAGTAACCTGATCTGGCAACAACTTGCTACTCTTAACCATAGTCTCCATTAAGCTCCTCACTTGTTCGATCCTCTTCTCTTTGCAAAGAAAAGTCATGACAGTATAGTAACTCACTTTGTCTGGAGGACACCCTTTGAATGGCATTTCAGCTATAAGCTCCATAGCATCTTCGACTCGGTGAACATCACAGTAACCTTTGATCAAAGCGTTATACGTTACAACGTTTGGAGTGATACCAACAAGTTGCATCCTTTCCATAAACCTCAATGCTTTGTCCATCCTATTCGCCAACACCAAAACATGGATAGTGGTGTTACATATCAGCAGGTTAGGTTCAATGCCAGCTTTCTGCATCCTTGTCAACACCTGCATTGCATTCCTCAACCTACCAGCTCGACTATATGAAATCATTAAATAGCTAAATATTTCAGGCCGTCGTTCAACACCCCGGCGAGCCATGAGCACAATTATTCTCCTAGCACCTTGACATAATTTGGTTTTACTGAGCATCTCAAGCAACACATAATAAACTATAGGGTGGTGCCTGTACCGCCACTGGCGGTCAGCCCAATAGAAGAAACTCAAAGCTACTCTCTCATCTGCTTGAGATCGCAGAACAGCACAAACTAGTCGAGGCTTGAGGCTTCTGAGCAAGTTCTTCAGTTCCGCTTCCATCTTAGGATTCCAAGCTGACCTACGATCAATCAACCTGCAGACTTCCCTCACCAAAGGATGCCGAAGTTCATGTTCCCCTAGCTCAATTCTCATTGTCTCTTGCTTTTGCTCACGATCCCTGTTGAAGGAATCTAACACCTTAAAGCTTTTCTCATCATCGTCTCCTCCGTCTACATCTGATTCCTCAAACTCCTCAGAGCAATCCGATTCAAGAACCTCATCAGCCCTAACCTCAACATCCGAAACACCCATTTGCCTCAACCTCTTGGAATGAGCATTACCATTATCATCAAAATCACGTCTTTCAAAAGGACGAGAACGGAAATTGACGTTAGAGCTAGAACGAGGAGAGTGATCACTTGAAGACAACGAGGAGAACGAAAAATCAAACACTTGGTGGGCATATTGACAGCCCGTCGGTCTACCACTGGCCAAGGCTTCAGCGGCTGACCTCCGAGCTGCTCGATAAGTACCCGAGCGAAAGATCATGGCGAACAATGTTATCGAATCAAAAACTGCAGGTACTCGAGCCTGGGGGAAAAGAACGATGAACAGATTCAACCGTCAGCCATGGAGAAGCAAACAGCCTCAATGAAGAGACATTCCAACTTTGCCAATAAATTATGAAAATGAGCACTCTCAAGTCTCACCTCCTCAGACTTCTCTATTTGTTTCACCGTCGAAGAGTGAACCGTAAAACAGCACGTAATCGCCGGGCAGAGGCGGTGGAAACGAAGCCAGAGTCTCGGGGGACTGTCGGAGAAGAAAAGGTAAGTCGGGAGACTGGAAACTGATGTCTACATGGCAAGGGTAAGGACAGGAGAGCGGGACTTGCAGCTGGCGACGGCGACCGGCGGGTTACTGAGAAGCGGAGGAGACTGGAGGAGTTGACGAGGAGAGGGAAAGAGAAACTGAAGTACGGAGGGACTAGGGATTCCTCATTCCTGCGCGCGGTTTGTTAACCACTTTGATCGGCGTCGTTTCGGTCAAGGAAAATGTATATAGGTTAACAGAAGGGTTAATTGCTTTTCTAGTACCCGTACTATGAAATATTAACAAGACATAGAGATACAAAGAATGGAAGTAACATTGATAGCTATCTACATTACAAGCTCGATCACTCTGTCTATAGTCATTTATTCCTACAGGGCTAAATGTAATCGCTAGCAAGTAGCTCTTCTCAACCATGGCGTGGCAGAAAGGCATTCTTTGCATCTCTGTCCTTCATTCACCATCCTTGGCATTCTCATCACCTTCTTCTTCTTCGTCGTCATCATCGTCCTCAATGCCAACCCACTTAGTAAAAGCAAACAGAAACTCCTTGATGTTCACCATCCCATTTTTATCCCAGTCCATCTCCTCTGCCATTATCATGTTCATAGTTAAAAGCAATTCAAACCCACAAGCCGAACGAGCTTCCAACACAACAATGTGGAGCGGTGGAGGGAGAGAATTACCGAATCTCTTCAAGGCTATTCGTCCAGCAGCACGTTCCCCTGAGTCTTGTATGGCTTGTATCAGCTCATTCTTGCTCACGTAGCCATCCATGTTCTTGTCAAAGAACACAAATGCATCGACCAGTGTTTCGAAGGAAGCCTCCAAGTTTGGCATCCCCATCTTCGGTTTCTAGCATGGTCATGGAATACATCCGCACACGAAGCAAAACGAATAATGGTACTTGTTTACTACCATTAGTACCTGGGATGCCAAGATGCTAAGACCTGGAAAAAACTAGAGTCTAAGCCTGAAAGTAAAGGAAATTATATGCTCTTTTAGAAAGAGAAATTACTAGGGAGAAATAAACAAGTAGCATCAAGCATGTGAACACTTTGTTCTGGATACGTTAGGATCAGCAGCAACAGCAGCAGCAGCCTTGAGAAGATACACCAGGCAGAGAAGTACTATGAACTCATGGAAGTTCATTCCATAGTCGTCATTAATATCGCACGCCGCGAAGAGATCATTGATCTCCTCTTCAGTGAAAGAGATTTCCAGCTTGTCGAAGCATCTTCTCAGCTCTTCATGATCAATGGTGCCATTGCAGTCCAAATCTAGAAAGCAATACAATGTAGACTGACACATTAGGAGTATTTAACCAACAAAATCTCGCCTGGGCATGCAAACCAACTTTGAAACTATGCTATCTAAGTGAGGTGTTCTTTTGACACTGAAGGGGGAGGACCTAAGTAGATCTACAAATGACTATCGATCCATGCTTAAACTGATGGTAAAGGATTATAATGTGATTCTTCTGACACCAATAGTGATTGCTTGAAAGTGGATTTGCAAGGATTTCGAACACCTACCGAATTGTTCAAAAATGGCTTTGCATTTCTTTAAGCTATGGTCAATCTTGGGGAACTTCAAGAGTATGCTGTTGAATGATCTCAAGGAACATCCTGCAGCTTCTCTCTGCTTCATGGCATCAAGCATTTTCGACTCGATCTTCGTTTCTGGTACCCATACTCTTCTAGGTGATTCAGCCTTCACTACATCGCCTCCCATTGCTGCACTTACCAAGACTGTCGGGGTAGGAGATATGACCTGAATTCCAACCTACCTCGGGCTACATAATGAAATGGACCTAGGTAAGAGAACACTTCAACAAGCATATTGATGAAACCATATGATGAACATCGAAACTTCCCAAACTTGAAGGCAGTCATCTTGCTTTGCTACTAACGATTAATCAACCAATCAGCCTAAAATAAGTAGATCAGGAATCAAAATCTCTACACTGAAACTTCCCGAACTAGAAATACCCTATCAGTAGGATGATCTTGTAAATCTGGAATGGCTGATCGTTCAAATCGGAATCATATACTGGATTAGACAATGGAAAGGAAAACGTACACGAGAGAGAGAGAGGAACCTGGAGGAAGGCTCCACCAATTGTTGGCCGGAACTTTATGGCGAAGATGATCGGAGAAACGGCCAGCTAGCACCAGATTCCACCAGAAACGCTATCGGAGAAGAAAATGATCGGAGACGACGGTTTAATGTAATCCGCTCCCGCCGCTGACTTTTCGAAACTTGCGCCTGTTTCATATGGGGAAAAAATTACAGGCAAAGCCCAATCTAGAGTATTTGGGCCGATAACAGCCGATCATGCTAGGCCCGGATTAGGAACGGACCTACCCAGGGCCACGTGGCGAACTGGGAAGTTAAGATTTCTCTTCCTTTTATCCACTTCCAAATTCGCGCTACTGAATCCCTCGTCCCGCCTCTTCCGTCTCCTTCCTTCTGCTTTCCCCTCTCATTTTCTCTGCAATCAAACAAAAAATTAACCAAGACAGTAGCAGCAGAAGACGAAGGGAAAGGGATTCAGGCTCAGGGAAAGCTACGACGATGGCTGTATTGCCTTATTCGATCCCGCGAACTCTTGTAGGTACGCAGCTTCAATTGATTTCCTTTTCTCGAGAAGTTCATCGGAATCGAAAAATCCGGCCGCATTGCCGGAAGATTGAAATTAAAATCATCTCGCATTCGAAATTCATCAGGTACTCCACCTCCCGGCGCTATCCCGTTGAGTTTCAGCGGCAGCCGCGTGATTCGCTGCTGCTCCACCGTGGAGCTTAGCAGCAGCAGGCGCGATTTCAATCGGACGAGAACCTGCGCTCTCGCGAATCGCAGGAATGTGATCGGGGTGATTCTTCTGGGCGGTTCGAGTCTAGTAACTGGCGGATTTGAGGCTGGAGGAGCGGGGTTGCCCCCTGAGGATAAACCCAAGCTGTGCGATGAAAGTTGCGTGAAGGAGCTTGAAAATGTATGGTGAGAAGGGAGAGAGAGAGAGTTTCGATTGTAGTAGTTACGGATTTCGGGATTAAATTCGTTACTGATGGTTTTATTCTAACGATTTGAATACGAAGGTACCCATGGTGAGTACTGAATCTGGGTTGCAGTACAAGGATATTAAAGTCGGCGGAGGGCCTTCTCCTCCTGTTGGTTTCCAGGTGATTCCTGAATCTCTTTCAATTTGAATGTGGCACGAACAGATTGTCTGAGATTGATTGTTCTCTGGGTCTTGATTCACATTCTAAGATTGGTTCTTATTAGTGAGGATAACATTCTCACTACAGTGATTTACTTTTTAAGTGATGTCTTGACCCCTTTGGAAGATTCGTCAATGTCATAGTCTCATAGACTTACTAATTTGCTCTGGTTTTCTGATGCAATGCAAAAGGAATCCTTGATTAAGTTAAGCTTAACTCGAGAGCTGACTCATGACACAAATGTGGATCCTAAGCTGCTATTGCTTTTTTTATTCCTTAGCTTCCTTTTGTCCTCTTTGTCTGATGGTGGTATCGATGCAAGCATGCAGGTGGCTGCTAATGTTGTTGCCATGGTTCCGTCGGGACAAATCTTTGATAGGTACTTTTTCCTGCACAATAATCTTCAAAAACTTGATTGCTGCTAATCACCCGTTAAATGTGTGTGTGTGTGTTCTATATCTGATTGTGCAGTTCTTTGGAGAAGGGGCAACTGTATATTTTCCGTGTTGGCTCAGGTCAGGTAATGATCATTTGCAGAAGATTCATAATGTGGTTTACAGTGCTTTTGTAAGTTGTGCGCATTGTGGCTAATGTCTGGGATTAACTAGAACAGGTGATAAAGGGGCTCGATGAAGGGATCCTAACCATGAAAGTTGGAGGCAAGCGACGGCTCTACATTCCTGGACAGGTAAATCCTTCCTTCTTAATACCATCCATCACAAGTTTCATGCATGAGGGAAGAACATGAACAAATATAACTCCTTTAAGCTACTGTTATGCTTCTAGGGGTTTTCTTACAGGTTTAAGTATAGTGGGGCTCTAAACCTATAGCATATGAACATTTGTGTGTATCCAAAGCCATCTGGAAATGCAGATTGTAAGTAACCAACCAACCAACCCTGAGGCATTCTTTTGTTTGTGTTGGATCAGTTGGCGTTTCCGAAAGGACTGACTTCGGCTCCAGGAAGGCCGAGGGTGGCTCCGAACAGCCCTGTAGTCTTCGACGTCAGCCTTGAATACATACCAGGCCTCGAAGCCGACGAAGAGTGAAGTGTAGAGACCACTCTATAGCTAGCCGCCACGGTAAACACATCTCCTCCTGACTTCCCCCCATTCTTTTCCGGCAACTGTTCATTCATTTCCTCAAAAATATGTATAATATCGGTCAGAGTTAGTTATGCGAAGGCTGGATGTCCTGAAACTTGGTGTCGAATTGGGCTTGGGCTTGGTCTTGGGCCGGGGATATCTGAATTGGGATTTCGTTTAATCTTGTTGGACTATCTACCCAACTGAACAGTCTCGCTTTCCATTTTGATGGGCATCGGAGATGTCAGATGCACAAGAAAGAGAGACAAGTTAGCTTGGAATGGGGGAAAACAGATGTTATTGATTCGACGCACTGATAAGTAAAAGAAAGATTAGATTCGAGAGGTGAAAAGAAATCTATCACCACTATATACTTGCCTGCCAGTCTAGTCTGCCACTAGTGTTAAAATCAACGGAAGAACCAACCACCCAACCCAGAAATGCACGTGGTGGAGATTGACTGGTAACACACAAGCAGACCAGACCACTAGAGAGAGAGAGAGAGAGAGAGTATGGTAGCAGAATATAGAAACTGGGGAAGTTCGTGAAGCGGCAGGTCACGGGTTCTGTTTTCTGGACTGGAGATTGGAGAAGGAGAAAAGGCAAGAAGCATGCAAATGAACAAATGGTAAGGAGAAGAGGGAATCCAACCCAACCAGAATATAATAAATTAAACTATTAATGCTAATGTGGTCAAGGGCATGGAATGATGTGTCGCTTTCATACATATATCCGAGAAATAAAGCTGTTGTTGAGCAAGAGAATTTTGTACCATATGTGTACAAGTACAACTCCCCAATAGAATATGAATTTTATGATTAGTACTATGTCACTCGCCACTTATGAAATCTTAATCCAACATAATGATAAATTACTTCAAATAATCATTTTCACTCTAAGCTAGGTAATGAATAGTGTGTGTACCACTTCTCTTTCCAAAATCGTGGTATTCTTGTGATCTGATCGTTTTTTTGTTATTGGGTTTAGTTTGAGGACAAACATTCTAGGCGAGTTTGTTATAATTAGAAAAAGGGTAAATGACACATTTGGTCACTGAGATTATTAAATTGTGTCATGTTTAGTCACTAGAAAAAATTAATATCAATTTTGGTCACTCGAATTACCGAAACTGGTCTAATTTAGTCACTCTCCCGTCAGTTTCCGTCCAACTCCATTAATGTAGTTGGACGGAAACTTTTGGGAGAGTGACTAAATGTGACATGTTTCAGTAATCCGAGTGACTAAATGTGACATTTTTCAATAATTCGAGTGACCGGAGTTGGACAGAAGCTACAGAAGAGTGACCAAATGTGACCTCTTTCAGTAATTCGAGTGACCAAAATTGATATTAAATTTTTCTAGTGACTAAATATGACACGATTTAGTAATCTCAGTGACCAAATGTGTCATTTACCCATTAGAAAAATGACTCACACTTTGCTACATAGATAGTGGTACTACGTCCGTACTCAGAGTGAGTGAGTCTACTAGAAGCAATAAGGTTTTCCACTTGGGTAGTTCCACGCAGTGATAACAATAGACAAAAGAGATCAACCAGCTTACAACATAGCCAATTGACGAAAGTAACAAAAAGAAATGTTGTGTGATACCAATGAACCTAAAAGTGTAGCCCCATTGGATTATAACCAAAGTTAATCTTGATGAGATGCGTTAAATCGACAAGATTATCTACGGGGTGAATGTCTCTGCGCACTAAAGTGCCACCATGAGATCATGTGAATAGTGTAGTAAAAGTGTAAAACGACTTGGCTTAGGTTGAATGAGCTTGATAAAACCCAACTCTAACCAGTCAGACTAGACTGTGGGAATCTCTTCAACGGGAAGAGTGGTAAACTAGAAGACAAACTGAAACAGCTCCCTCAAGGTGAAAGAAAGTTTAGAAACTTTTCAAATTAGAAGAGCTCTCGTTTGAAGGAGAAGAGAAGGGAAAATTTCCACAGCTTTAACCTTTGTGCTGCAATAGTTCTACTTGTCCACATTCCACCCCCTACGGTAAAGACAAGCTCACAGACAAACGGAAGGTGTCGGCATTGGCCAGCGGCAAATAATAATAATAATAATAAGGCCATTATTGTTGTTATTTGTCATTGTTACTATATATACGTGTTCACAGTGAGACAGTGAGAAGACGTTTCTTAGGACAAGACAGGGTGGTTGCTTGTCTGTCTCTGTGTTTGCTGTGTACTGCAATTTCATTAATGGTTCTTGGTACTCTGTATTTTTATGTGTATTCTGCCTGTGTAGTGTAGCGCAGGCAGAGAGGAGAGAATTGGCAAATTGGATGCAGCTGAAAGCGACTTTGCCAATTTCTCTCCTTGGAGAATGAGATGATGAAGGAAGGAGAAGAGAAGAGAAGAAAAGAGAAAGAGATATCTCCATCGTCTGGTCTCCATCCTCTGTTATCATCATCGTCTATATTATATAGCAGAAGAACCCCCATCCTCTGTAAAAAGTGATCAATGTATCTTTTACCCTCCCTGTGTTACAATGCTCCCACGGTTAAAAAAAGGGTTTTCGGATTTTACTGTTTAGTATCCTTTCGTTTCAAATTGTGATCTTTTGTTTTCAGGCTCAGAAAAAAAGTTTGACAGAGACTAGAAACTTAATCGTGTTCGGTGCTTTCCCATTTGAGGTTTTGAGAGTCATGTCAAGCACCAAGGGAAGTGGGGTTGATATAACTTCTAGCTGGTGTGATTGTTGTACATGGTTATTTATGTGGGTTCTTGATTGAATTGGTTGCTTGCTGATTTCGGCTAAAACTCAACAGAGATGTCGAATGTCGAGTCGACATGTTGATCCGACCAATCCCACCGTAACCCCATGGTGATACAAAAATTGCATGATCCATTGTGACTTGCCGATTAAAAAGCGCCAAGCGGTATTCTCAAATTATCATATACAATAATCACTATGTGTGAGGTGCATCAAGGCTATCAATAATATGAAACCCTAAAATAATGGTCATGTTGATTAGGGTTGCCCTTGCATATAGATATGATGTAGATGTAAGTGAAACGTACCTAATTGACTCTCCATGCCATTATAATCACCATCGAACCTGTATCGATAATTCACTACTAATAGATGTACTGTATTTCCATGAAATAAATAAAGGGAAAATGTCAACTCCCATGCTCTATATACAGTCCAACTCATTATAACATATAGATAAAGAAATAACATAATCTACAAATAATTAGACAAAACCAGAATCTGATGAGAGTAAAGCCTAAATAAACAGACCACAGAAGCAAGCAATGATGGCATTATGATTTTGTGAACCTTTGTCTTGCATGCATGAATTAATGACCACAGTAGCCACAGTACGAGGGAAGTGGTTTTTGTTTTGTTTTCTGTCTTGAGCTTTGTTTTCCAGTGAATTCCAATTTGTAGTTTTCAGAGA